GGTACGATTTAAATGCTAGTACGATATAACCAACTCTCCCCTATTTCTTAAACGTAATTTTTCATTTTATTGTATTGTATAGGTACATATGTATATTGAACACTTTTGATTCCGTCTACCTGATTCCGAAGTCAATTCAAATTAAATCAATAAAAATAGTACATATTTAATTATATAAATATATACATTTATAAAGATTTATCAAAATTTTCTCGATATCAATGAGAGTACTATGTAGTAAGATCATACTCAAGCTGCAATTTTTGCCAAATTTTATAGCCACTAACATGGATTGTCATTAAACTTTTATTCAGGCACCATAAAAGAGATCGATAAAAATTTATGTATAATACATATACATACATATTTACCCTTACTGCGTCTTGGAGGACTATACAGAGAGAAATTAACAAAATATGCTCAATAAAAAGATCTTAAAACCAAATTGACAGTAGAATTGCTAGTATTATTCAAAAATCTTACCGTCATTACGAAAAGTTTAATCAAAATACGTCCAATTATTAAATGTAACACCAAAATACAAATAAAGTAACGCATTTATAATATTAGAGGGACATATTAGAGATTCTGTGAAATTTCTATTAATAGCTAGCTGATTCTTCCGTTAAGGCATTTTCTCTTATGTCCTCAACAATTTATGAAGGCCAATATCAGGCTTTTAGCTTCAACATAGAATTTAACGTACGTTATAACAGTAATTCGACGTGTCTGAACGAGGTCACGTTCTCTGCATGGAGTTTTGGAAGAGAAGGGTTTAAGGGTTAGAGGAATTTGATATATTATCATCAAAAATCCAGCCAATTAATATATTTCAGGTATAACAATGCTTCAGTGTCATATGAAAACAGAGGCGTTAAAGGGTTATGTTTTTAACCTGTTTATTAAAAAACATTTTTCCAACTTACAATAATGGATTTTGGACAATCGAAATAGAATTTTTACTTTGTTTTTACAGCTATATTGAGAGGTTATTTTTTTATAAACTGGTTTTGTTGAAGAGTGAAATAAGCATTATAGAGATCTGTTAAAATTTTAAATAAATTCAATAAAGTAGAATATAAAACCTCTTAAAAAAGAAATAAAACTTGTTGAATTAACGAATTGTACAATTTCAAAGATGTTATCGTAATATAAGTTGTTGCAATTCTGTTAGGTATTTTTTTCTGTAGGAACTTCCAACTTCGACCTTAATCGTCTTTGATCTTGTATCTACTTTGTTTATTTATAAATAACTAGTTTTTGCCGGCGATGTCATTCGCATTGATATCGAAATTAGGTGCGGATAGACATGTTAAAAGTATGTTAAACTATATATGTATATATGATAACTAATAGTCATAGAAGTGTATAGTCAGTAAAACATAGCTTAATACACCATACAAATATTATGCCTTAATCCGACGATTTCAACAAAGAATTTCTTGATAAATTAAAAGCTATGTCTTATTCTGATATCTAATTGATGTTACTGTAAAGTTTTATCAAAATGAGTAAAGTAGTTTTTGTGTTAAAGGGCAATAAACACTCATATCACCAGAAATAGGTAATTCCGTATATCCACACACCATATTTCCCCACAAACTTTCTAATTTATAGTATTAATTAGGTATTCATTTGTTGAGCTGTGTTTTGATTATAAAATGAAAAGTTATATTTTTTCACCCGCCTTCAGCGCCATCTACCAGGAAAACAGAAATTGATCATAGGATCGAAAATATCTCCTTTCTAATAAAACCAATCCAGTATTTTTTTTACATGAAAGTGACAAAGACACACACATTCGTCCATATAATCATCTCGTTTATAATACATATAAGCAATAATAAATTAAGTTTTTATTATAATTCAATGTAATATATCTGTTACCAGTCTTTATATGAACTGGGAACGTTGGCGCCATTAAAGTAAACAGGTTCTGAAATTACAATAACGGCTGTTTTTGCCTTAACCACTTAGGTACATTTAGGTACTGTTCAAATACAAAATTTAACAAATATTATTTTAATAATTATTATAAATTAAATAAAGCTGTACATTATAGTATATTCTTATTAAGGAATATTTAAATACAGTTAGATACAGTAGCAATAATATTTAGAAGTTTCTAGAAGTGGTTTAAAAACAACATTTCTAGCGACACAGTTCATACTGGCACCACTAGCGTCCGAACGTAGAAATATTTCCTTTACATTTATGTTCTCCTGGTCGTTTTTACAACTATTATCCTTGTATTTAAAGGATATCCTTAATTTTATATTAAATATATTATATCAAACTATCCTATTTTATATCCTGTGAGATAATTTTTATCTTAGTCACCTCAATTATTAGAGAATTGCAAAATACCATCTTCAATATTCACTTTGAATAAGAGATTGATTTATTTTTAATTTTATATAGGTATATATCAAATATATCTGTCTTCATTATGGGGTAGCAAGTTATGATTTATAAGCGATTTTGAAGGACATTTGTTAATTTAAATACAAAATAATACATTTATTTTTCCACGAAAGTAGATCCTTTCTCTCGACTCTATCCGCGGTAGTATAAATCATATGTTCAATCATAATGGCGTCTTCTAGAATGTTCCATAGTTTACTGATTATTTCAAAGCGATAGGTACAATTCTAAGATATTTTCACAAATAAAATTAACTATGATTTAAATAGTTTAAAAGTAATTGTAAGGTTTTAAAAAAGTATATTTATATTTAATTATTTACACAGCATAAAATACACTCAAATATAGATTATTATGTAAAAAAATTTAAGACAACACAAAACATTTAAACGTTTGTATGTAATGTATCTGTATATTATTCAACTTTTGGCTTGTGCTATTTGTACAAATTAAAAAAAAAACTCTTTTAGGTATGTACATTATTGTGACTTTTGAATACAATCTTTGTTATGACGATAATCGCTCAATAAAAGCCATTAACATTCCAAACGTGTGTCAAACGTTCGTAACGTTGAAAGGTTATTTTAGGTCAAAGATTTTACTTTTTTTTCCTTTAAGAATACCATACCCGTTTTACTACCGAGTTATACAGTTTATGGTCATTAATTGTCGAGTTTGACCTTGTATAACACGGAATAGAAAGAAATTTTATTCATTTTTTCATTATTATAATTATTAATTTTATTATATACGTGATTTGGTACGTTAATTGGTTTAAATTCTTCCTTTTTTATGCTTAGTTTATAAAAAAAACGTAATTTAATAGCCGATATACTAAATGGTATTACAAATAAAGAGTACAATATGATTGTTATTTTCCTTATTGAGCCCTCGCTCCAAGGAACCTTGTACGGGTAATCCTCACAAGCTTTGTAACTTCAAACATATGAAAATATTTTGTGTGTGATATTGTAATGTATGAAAAATTTGTATATTACGTTTTATTCTGTAATGTCCTCTTAATATAAAACTATTTATATTATCTTCAATATAACGATTTTTATTATTAGAAAAAAATAATCTATGTTGTACCTATCATAGTATAAATATGTGAATTACAGTCAACAATAATTAAATGTAAAATAACTTATTCATGATGTTTTAAGAAATCTTTTGTTTCAACAACTTAATCTATTTTGTAGTTAAGAAATCTTCATTTGTACTTGTTTTATATAATATATACTACCAATAACTTCTATGTTTTAAGAAAACAAATCAAGCCTGTTAAAACAATTAAAAATATTAAATAATTTTTTCACAAGTTTTTGTACAGAAATCTACATCCTTGCGATACATAGATTTATTGTTAGAAATCAGGAAAATTCGTGTTCTTAATTGTTCCACCCCTTACCAAATATATAAAAATATTATATTCACACAAATTTTCCCATACATTAAAATTCATAATTTGATTATCGCATCACTAAAATTGATAAAATAATTACAAAGGAGATGAAAGTTGAATTTTTTTTTTGGGAAAAACACACAAAGCTCAAAATTATTACAACTCTCAAGAAATATCGAATCACACAAACAGATTATTATCATCAATCTATATAAATAATAATTTAATTATTCGTAAGAATTGCATTAACGCAAACAAAATATTATATTAACAAAGTGAACTAGATTTTGTGTAAGGTAAAATATATTTAAAAATATGTCTGCATTTACGTATTCCGTGTTAGAAAAACAATAAACTTAATAGATGCATATTCTTTGATTTAAGTTAATGAATTTTTCGTTTCAGGATAACCATAAGTTAAAATTTATTTATAAATATTATAGTCCCAACATTCCATCCCAATTCAATTTTACTCTTAAACTTTTTACCTTCGGAACCCGACATTAGCTGTAGTGACCTTAAAATTTGGTTACGGACCCTCTCATGATAACGGTTTAAGGGTAACATTACCGTGGTGAACTTATAAAGATTGTTATCATTACACATACCTATATGTATATAAAAATATAAATAATTAAGACACGAACTGAAAACCTTACAAAAATAACTATTATGAAATACCAAACTATCCAAATTACATTCTTCTTCTTCTACCTGGCAATTTCCCAGCTGTAGCCAGGGTCTGCTTTACATGTTGTGAATAGTTTTTGGCTATTTGTTTTTACGACCGGTCGCCTGCCTGACATCAACCCTCTTTTTGGGAATCAACATTAGTCAATGATGTCTAAATACTCTTAGAAAGTACATAATATGATTCGGAAAAATCACATTGGTACTTGCCCGGGCCAGGATCGAAATTTAATTACAAATTACATTTAATTACAAATTTAATCCAAATTACATTATAAAAAAAAAAAATATTCGATAGCATAGTAGTGGGAAGCATTGATTATATATTTATATATAGGTTTTATGATATGTATATAAAGGTTTTAATCTAAATATAATATATATTAAACAAATATCATAAGTCCTTAATTAGTTCAAACAAGCATACATTCGCAGAGTATTATATCATTTTATGTCATCGTATTTCATATTCTCCAACCAGATGTCGGAGGTACGTTCCCGCGTTCAACAGAACGACCTTCTTCTCCACGAGGCTGTCATCAAAAATGAACCGGAAGCTGTGAGGGAGGCTCTCAGGCGACCCACTGATGTCAACTGCAGGAACAATGTAAACACTTACACATACAGCTACCTAATTGAATTAAAACATTTTTTGGTGAAGCACTTTAATTGAATTAAAAGACTTTTGGTTAAGCATATTAATTGAAATTAGATTTTTTTATAAGATAAAAAATATTTTAATATTTCATAAAACATGTAGTATTAGTATGTAAAGAAAATAATATAATTAATAATTAATTAATAAACAATCATGATTCGAACCTAGGAAATGTCAAGTATGGAATCTCTTTACCGTCGTAATAAAAATTAAGCTATCGTGTCTATATAGTAAAACATATTTAGTGAATTATATTTTTCATATTAAACTATTATATATTTTATTATTATGAATAATTAATTATTTGTTTCAGTATGGCCGCGCCCCTATTCATTGGGCGGCTAGCAGAGGCAACGTCGAAATAATAAATTTACTTATAGAAGCCAAATGCGACATAGAAGCGATAGATAAGGTCGTGTACATTAAAAGATATATTTATTCATTTCCTTTTAAAATAGCAAAATATATGGAATTATTGTATGAAATAAATAATGCATGTTATTATAGGCATGAATGGTAGTTCTGATTTTGTTTTGACGTTCGTATGACTTTTATTTAACAATAACCTTACTAACAGTTTTCATTAATCATTACGAAACTAAATACGGGCAATTACTAATATGTCATTCATATATCGTTAATGCAATCATGTAGGAAGATTTCTATATAAAGAATTTAGAAACTGTGTTAATTTTGAAGAAAGAGACTTATGGTAAGAGATTAGCTCTTAGACAAGAACAATGATTTATTGAAGCTATTTTTATAGTATTTTATACTAATCTAGTTCATTTTATTTCAGTTTGGGATGAGACCACTATTAATGGCGGCCTGGCACGGCCATTTACCCGCTGTGAAAACATTTGTACAAGCAGGAGCGTGTATAGCAGCTACAAACAAAGTATTTATTACTTAAACTATAATAATTAGCTAAATAAATTTAACTTTTCATTATATATTATAGTGTTTGAAGATTTGAAACACCAAAGTAAAGTTATTTCATAAAAAAAATATGATTAAACTCCACCTAAAAGGAGCCTTCAAACTTTTTACTCGTATCGGCTTAATTAGGTAAAATAACAAGATGTATCTACCGAGTTACTTTGTAACCAATATTTTTTTAATTTAATGTATTCAGAATCTTCCATATAATATCGTATGATACAGTAAATAGTATATTATACGATTTTATAAAGATTCTACTTTTATATGTACTGTCCAATCAACTTGACTATCAAATATAGATCCAAGGTAATACAATAAAAAACAACTACATTCCCTTATAAAAAAAAAAACACCTTTTTGACATTATAATTAAACTATTTATAATACAAAAAATTCATAATATATACAGGGTGACTGGTGAATTACTATCGATACTTGAGGACGTGATATTTGACGATCATATATGACAAAATAAAAATTAATATAACATAAATATTAATAAACTTCTAAGTAAAGTTAACCAAGACCTGTCGCTTTCGAGTGTCGTGGAGAAGATGCTCGAGAGTGATGGGTCCTGGTTGGCGGTGTCCTCCTTCTGTGAGACGGTCATGTCCACGAAGGAGGCATCTCAGCGGGAAAGGGAGAGGGCGGCTGATGCTCCCTCCCCCCGCAGGCGACGTACGGGGGTGCGACGGAGGCAATTCCTACGCCTCCAATAGCACCCCTGTGTTCCGGGCTGGGGTCGGCGTGGTAACCCGGCCCTTTTGAAAGCCCGGCGTCGTCGGGGTGGTCCTAATTGCCGGGATCGCCCCCATGCTCCGAGGGAGTAAGTCCGGTCTTTGCCAGGACCGGCCAGTCGCTGGTGTGCCCTGTCGCTGACAGATCCGGGGTACACCGACATAGCGGCCAATGGCTTTCGCAGTGGTTTTAGTGAGTAGGGGCCTGCCCAGGCCGAGCCTCACACATCCCTTCCGGCCCCACCAAGGTTGGACGGCTCGTAAAAAGAGTTTCCACTACGTCATCAAAAAAAAAAAAAAAAGTTAACCAAAAGTTATGTAATTAATTACGCATCGTATGAACACCCTACAGATTAGGTATACACACACACTCACTAGTGTTGTATCAGCACGCCGCTGCACGCGTCTACACTTGGAACACTTGGAACGTGTCAACACTTTATTTATTTATACGGAAATTTGGTCAAAAATTAAGTACCTATTTTTTTACATAATTTGAATGAGAATCATGTACCGAGTATTCTCCTGAAATATTGATAGTAATTCACCAGTCACCCTGTATACTGTATGTACTGTTCAATCAACTTGACTATCAAATATTAATCCAAGGTAATACAATAAAAAACAACTACATTCCCTTATAAAAAAAAAACACCTTTTTGACATTAAAACTAAAGTTATAATACATTCTAGATACAAACAATTAATAATAAATATATTTTTAACAGAAACAAAACGATATTCTCCAATGCGCTTGCGCGAGAGGCGCTAAAGACGTTGCCGCGTACGCGCTAACTCTTGGAGCGCGCGTTTCATCGTGTGACGCGTCCGGCGACTCACCGTTGGCGCTGGCGTCAAGAGCCGGACATGGCGCTGTTGTTGAACTATTACTGGATAATGGCGCTAGTGTTGACGCTTTTAATAAGGTATGATTTGGAAATAATATAATATAGAATATTGTTCAGTATATTATATTTAGAATTTTGAAGACTTGAGTTTCGTCCTCTCGTGATGACTTTAATAAAAATTATAAATTTTCGTTAATAGAAATGAAAATTATAAAATACTTATCTAAAGGTATAGAACTATTTATTTCATTTTAGAAAAGCAATAATTTAGTTAGAAACGTTAAACAATAATAATTAATAATGTTTACGATTGACTCAACCCTAAAAATTCTCATCTGCAAAAGTTTCCTTTGAAAATTTTTATTTTTATTTTCATGTCACATTAATAAAAATTATTAAAATTTTAATACTGAATGCTACTATTGTTTATATCAGTAGGTACCTAAATGATTATTGGCTCCCTTTTTCCCTTTATTCATAATCAGGTTTATGCGACTGTAAATCCACAAATACCACCTCAAGACCACGGTATCGTGCACGTTTTAAGTTACTCAAATATCCAGAATCAAATTACCTAATATCATCACCTATTCCCTTGTGCAAAAGTTTTATTAGTATAGAGACCTTAAGACAATTCTTGTATTCATTAAAAAATCAATCACAATTCTTTGACTGATAAATTGAGTGGTTTATTGATTGATTCAATCATTCATTAATCATCAAATAGACTTAAATTTGTATAAAACGAATTCACACAACACAACTTCTTTGATATTCAGAAGGGCTTGCATATTAAAATCAACGCAACTTGTATATAATTACATTTAAATGAATATATTTTTCTACACGCCCTAATATTTAAAAGAAAACATAAGTTATTTTTGTATTCCCCTCTATGTAAAAATGTTCGATCACAAAACGATAATTCAATAAGGATCTCATTGTATCCAAATACTATTATATATATCTTTTTATTATTGCGCCGAAATCTTATGTCACATAATTTATTGTGTGGGTTGCCAGTTAAAGATCATTTTTAGTGTTATAGCCAACTACATGCTATTCAAATATTTATATTCAATTCTTATAGCCGTTACTTTGAGCATTGAGAGATAAGTTATATTAAATTAATAAATAAAGTGAATATAATAATAACATTAATTTGTTTGTCAAAACAAAAAAAAATAATTTAAAAGTTAATAAGGATGTAAACTATACAGTCGAATACGGAAATAAAAAAAAAATACAAACGTCAATCCTTTGTATATTTTGTTTTAATTATTTTGAACTTTTCATATAAAATTCAAATGTATTTAAATCGTTATACGATGTTTCGTTGACACGACCCAGTTAACAAAAAAAAATCGCGTATCATTCCGTCGCTCCATGAAGCTGTTTCCAATAACGTTTGTACCAGTTTTTTGTTTTTTTTCTTCCGAACGGTTTTTTTTTTACGTAGATGAAAATATTCCTCTATAATCCTTAAGCTTTCTGCCAACATTGAAAGTAGTCTTTGTGAGAATATTAATACGAGAATATTAACAAACAGATTTGATTTTAATAATATCAGTTACCATATTTTGTAGTATATATTAAGATATTGTTTCACTTAAAACATTGCAATTTCGTTGACTCAATTACACTTAAGATAAAAGCAAAACACGATATATTTTATTATAATGGCGTTAATCCATATCTTTATCTAAATATAAATATTAATATTTTGATCAACCGAAGCAAATTCCTTTAATGAATATAAAATTCGCTGACTACAATCTGTTGAACATAATAAGCTTGGTCTCATTAAGATTTACACAACACCCGAGGCTGTATCTCTCAAACTTGTGCCCTTTGAGTGCTCTTGATATTAATAAATTTAAAATGTCATATTATTTATTTTTAAATGTCAAAAAAATTACAAGATATTTGTTATAACATAGGTTAATGTTAATAAAATAAACTTGGTGTCTGAAACACTCTGGCTGACGATAAAATGTGAATAAGCTTAAAAAATATAGGTCACGGCACGCTCAATACAAAAGCAAATTTAAGTACACACATACAAAAGAACCTTAATTATATATTGATGTGTCCGTGTGTACGTAGCCTACATAGTGTCGCTTTCAGATGAAAGCAAAACGACATATATATTTTTAAAAGCGACGAGTTTTTTTTAATTGACCTTTTTTGTTGCTATGTTAAAAAAGAGGTTGTCTATAATTAATTATTTTATTTCAACTTCAATTATAATTAAAGAAGACGGCTTTGTTAAAATAATCTTTTTATATATTTATGTATGTAAATGTCGTACGGTAACTAATGATAATGACACTTTTCCATTTAAATCTTTTGTTTGTATTTTTATTGTCTAACTAGCTTTCCGCCCGCAGCTTCGCCCGCGTGGAGTTCGGTTATATCGCGTTTCCAAGAGAACGTTTCAAAAGTCTGGGATAAAAACTATCCTATGTTCTTTCTCAAGGTCAACTCTATCTCAGTACCAAATTTCATTAAAATCAGTTCAGTGGTTTAGGCGTGAAAGAGTAACAGACAGACAGACAGACAGACAGACAGACAGACAGACAGACAGACAGAGTTACTTTCGCATTTATAATATTAGTAGGGATATTTTAGTTTACTTAAAATAATTTAATAATAATAATCAAACAAAGTTCTGTAATATTGCGTATTAACCTCGGATAGAAATACCTAAATACCTAACAACGTTTGTCAGCAAATTTATTTATCTTCTAGGCAAAACTACTTTACTAACGAGTGGAATTGTCAAGCCGAGCTTTTAGTTTGGTTGGAAGCTTTCACTAGAAAACAAAAACTATTTGTACCAGGGAGGCATGACGACGTAGGAGTTAGTTGGAAATCGAATGTAGCTAGCCTCCGATAAAAGCCAAGTCTATCGAAATGACTCATATTCAGTCACAGATTTAAACATAATGAAACATGGATTAAAGTTTTATAAATATCAGCTCATGTATCTCTTAAATTAGACTAAACAAGTTTTTTGTATGTTATATTAAACAAAATTTATAAATATTTCGTTTGATTTACTTATTACTAATATAATATACAACTAATATTTTCTTCAAAAATTAATTCTAAATCTGTTAAAACTATCCATGTATTTACTGAACGGGCTAACAGACGCTATTTCTAAACGTGAACAAAAAAAATATCTTAGAAAAAAGGGTTACGTATCGAGATAGTTTCAAACATGGAATCGAATTTTACCCTGTGTGAGCGAGTGGGGCGGATAACATGTGTTAGAAAGAGACAGAAGATTAAGATAGATTGTAATAACAGGTAGGTCGTACAGCCCTGCATGTGGCGTGCGAGGGCGGCCACTGCGGCGTCGCTGGTCTCCTGGTAGCGCGCGGCGCGGCCCGGGAGGCGAGAGACAACTCGGGGCGCACCCCCCTCCACCAGGCCGCCGTCCACAGGCACACCGAGCTCGTGAGGACGCTCCTAGACACCGGCTGCAATGTCGACGCCACGGATAATGTGAGTCATGCCGGCCTGGTAGATTCGTATGCCGGTTTACTAACAAACGCCTCTCGTATATGCGCGCCTGGTACACTTGACATTTATCCCGTGGTGTCCTGAGCCCAAGTGGTACATAAAATTTACGGTTTTATTTTTTTATATACAAATAATATAGATAAATTATGGTACCCATCACTACAAATCATTTGTTTCTTGCTGTGTAGTTTATATGTAAATGTTTTTTTTAAACCAGAATGGTGTGACGGCTTTACAAATGGCGTGCGCTCAAGGATGTCGAGGGATCGTCGAACACTTACTAGAGTATGGAGCCGATGTACACTTACAGAATAATGTATGTACGAAAATACATTACAGTACATCTTGAATTGATGATAAAGGTTTTATTTGAATATTAGTTATCAATATAAAGTGTAAAAAAACTTAATATAAATAAAGATAATGATTTAAATACTATAGAGTAGTACTTCAGAAGAGATCAGAATACAAAATGAATTAGGGTCAATGAACTGGAATCATTGTTGTCATTTTTATTCTTTCTTCCAAACTGTCACTGCAGGCCACTAATAAGAATTTGTTAAATTTTTTTTAAATATATTGAACCTTTTTGTTACATGACATTTTTTTCATGTATTTCTAAAATATTATTTCAATTCATATAAGGGTCTTGTTGAAGGTTGGTTCGTCAGCATTACATGCAGCTTGTGCCGCAGATGCTACTGATATAGTTGAACTCCTTCTGGCACACGGAGCTGATCCAGCTATGACAGATCAGGTAAATGTCTACAGTTTCTTTTAATATTAGCAAATAGTCCTAAAATGTATGCTATATAATAGTTTCTGAAATACAAAAATAATCAACTTGTATGACAGATAATATTGCAAAGATTAATAATATACATATTATGTATTTAAAAAAATACAATGTCAACACATTATTTTACGAAAAGCTAAATACTTTTTTTATATAGCACCTACGTAATAGTACTATTAAAATATTCAAAACATAAAAAAAGAGTTTTAGGAGTATACGTAAAGAAAGATATCAAACTATTAAAAAAATCGTTAAAGAAAAATTAAAAAAAAAAGACTCAGGGGACACCCGGGTTTGAACCGGGGACCTCTCGATCTGCAGTCGAATGCTCTACCACTGAGCTATATCCCCACTTGATCAATAGAGCGAAACAAGTCACTAGTAATTACAAAATACACATGACTCATCATTTACACCCACTTACCAAGCATATCAAACAAACGAGATAATGAAAGTCTATTTATGGAGCAAAATCAAATCATTCATATGGATGATGATTTAATTTTGATTCAACGACCGTCGAATTACAAAACAAGAACCGACTCAACCCTTTTTCTATACTATTTCAATATATACCTTCCAAACTGTTATTTAAAGCCTATATATTTTCATACTTCATAATGTTATTTCTACCACCTACCTGAATAACGTACGTGACATTTAAAAACCTAAAATAATATTTATTCTGTTAGCGAAATACCTACTAAATTTTATTGTTTTAATAATTGTGGTAGAGAGAAGTAAAGTTTATAATGAAAATCGTGAACAAAAACTAATCTGATATAATACATGAAATAATTTTTATTTATTAATAAATATAGCTAGCCTTAATATAACTTGCTTTTGTCTTTTATTTAATACGCAACGATAAAAATTAAAAGTATTTCATACATGTACCGTCTCAAATAGTATTTACGTAGATTAATTATTGAATGATAACCGAAAAACGCTGCGTATATAGTATGAAAAGAAACTTCTAGTAAACATAACAGCATCATATTTTGTAACAGGTTGCTGAATTACTTTCCGAATGAATTGACAGCTTAAATATTTTTACTAAGTCTACATATATGTACATTATTCTTTATATTAAACATAACAATACCTTTTTTGTTTTTTTTTTAAATTGTTCTAGTTGCAATGATAGATATTTTATTTACTACTAGAATACCTGGCGAACTTCGTATCGCCCTATAATCAAGAAATATCTGTTACGTTTTTTAATTTATATTTTAAGCCATAAATCTCCGTGTTTTGAAGTGCGACAGAATGATTGACATATTAGTTAGTTGTCAAATCTAATGTCAAAAAAAAACGTTTGTATGGGAAATAGAAAAGGGCTGTTTTTATGGTTTTCTCGGTAATGAATAAATTTTTTTCAGCTTTTATACCTTCCCTGAACCTCCACGAACATTTCAAGACTAAGATAAGATAAATCCGTTCAGCTGTTCTCGAGTTTTAGCGAGACTAAGGAACAGCAATCCATTTTTATATATATAGAAGATAAATACATATTAAAATACGATTCTGCCACCAAATAGTGACATTTATATTGTCTTTTGTCCTTAATATTTTCGTCTTAAAACATTGCATACGTGAATATTCTAAAGTTTTTTTAGAAGTGCTGAGAGCTAGTGAAGCCACTTTAATAAATCAGGTATCTATCGATTTTCAATTAGTCTTAACGGTGCGACGGCTACACACTAGGTTTTGTTGTGACAAAAACCGAACAAAATATGAAAATACGTATGGTGCTGCCATTTAGAAAATATTTTTATGTTTATCAGATTACTTTATTTACAAAAAAGATTATAATTTAGAAACATAATAAAAAAATATTTCTGAATAAGCAAAACATATTTTATGTGAATGTAGAATATTTTTTGGGCATCAATAAAAATACTTACGTCTCAAATTATTATTGTACATTTTACTTTTTGTTTCTCATTCAATAACTTAAGTTTATACCGAGTTTAAGTTTATATAGTAATGTGAAAAAAATATATAAATAAAAAACGATTAACGCAGAGTCTATGGTTGTAACTCAAATCTGTTAGTTAACATGTAAACAACCATTCAAAAGCAGACATTTAAAGTTCTTGGGAAATAAAATGGGATTAATAGTTTTAAATAGAAGCCATTCATTGATTATTATCAATAAAATTTAACATTTATGTAAAATAAGTTTAGTTTTTCTTTAAAAAAAGTTCAATATATATTTTATGGGTACTAGAAGTAGCTCCGTTGAGACTAACTCCAAGTGTATGTATAATGTGCCCGTATTATATTTCAAACAAATCAAATCTCTAAACTCTATTACATAACATGACATGCTTTTAGTGAAATTTCTGTAAGGTTGAAATTTAATTTTATTGCTAGAGAATATTATATTATGTTCAAAATTACTTATACCTGAGGCACTTTCTGACTGAGTTATACAATTAACGAAGTAACGAACATTTTATAAAACAACATGTACGTACCTATAAAATATTTATGAACATAAAAATAATAAGAATGAAAGAATAACATCGTATAGAAGCAATAAACTCGCGAAAACATTCGAAGTGCGGCCTCACGGGTTTGAATGTTGAATTATTGAGACCTCCAGCGGCGTTCTGCGAGCCTGGTACCTCTACATCTCTTGCATAATACAAACGAGAGTAACTTTGAATTGGGAAACGGAAAAAATTGGGGTACTAAGTAAATAATAGATTCTTTCTACATACCGTATATTAAATACATACGTGAAACTACTATTTAATAATTATGTAAAATTTAACCATCCAATTTATTTGTTAACAAAAAACAGTCTGTTTTATTTATAAAAAAATTATTACATATTATTATTGTTCTGAAAAGTAACCAAACTCGCTAACTAGGTAGGTACTTTAAAATGTCATTGTGAAAAATCAATCTTTTCATAATTGTTTTTCTTAATATTATTTCATTATCATAGGTTTACTACGTACGGTTAAAACTTGATCACCACGGTAAAAAAAACATCGAAAAATATAGTAGTGTATATAGTAGTGTATTTGACATATTTGATATCCTTTTATTTAAAACGGTATAAATGTTATTTAAATAGAATTTTCGTGTATTTTAATTGCTTATAACACGTTAAGTAGTTTTATTGTATTAGCCAAAACTGTAATATTATAGTATCAATATGAGACTTCATCTTGTTTGTTTTATTTAACAATCCAGTGGTCTCAATCTCCCCTGAGCGTCGCCGGCAGCGCGGCTGACTCAATGCCGGAGGGTTTCCGTCGCGCCGCCCGGGGCTCGTTCTCCGCCATCCTTGACCTCCTCACTGCTACTGCGAACCTGGTACAGGTAACTCCCACAGTTCTATCACCCATTTTATTAAATAAAACAAACAGTCATTTCTGAATATTGTTTGTTTGTAATGGAAAAAAAGGGAAGAGGGAACCCCTTTGTTTAAACCATACACTTTGTAGAACGTATATTTTTCCAAAAATTAAATTTCATTAAAATTTAACAACTAATACTTATTGTTCGATATCAGAACCTAAAAGTTGTAAAAAAGGATCGGATTGCTTTCACAAAATAAAACCTTGTTTGATACCGTATGTTCAATAGACCCCGAATTCATTATACTGTTTCAAATATTAACTAACTTAGGCTGGTCTAGAATTCCAGTGCTTTAAAAAATCCTAAAGGTAGGTATGTAAAACCCAATAACTGTCATCGTATATAAATTTCATTAGTGAGAACAGTTTGCGGAGAGCCTTTCCTCTCGTATTTCGATACCAATTATGTCATAGTATTTCAAACTAGTTGGGAGTGGCCGAGTAAATAATAAGTGACAAGTTAATAGTGTTTGTGTTCGAGATTGCTCTAATCTCTGTAGTTCGATCGATTGTAATAAGCCTAATTGTTTGTCAGGGCTACATATTAGTTTAGCTGTTAGCGTCGTTAAGTGGATATGTCTAATATTTATATACGTTTATAGTGTTAGTTTTTTGTAAACAAGTTGAATAATGTTTAATTTGCAGATTGTACATGACAAGTTTTTTTAATGCTGACAACTTAAGAATATGAAATATTCATAAATAATACAATTAGGTGGTTTCAAAGTTTAATCATTAAATTTCCCGTCAGTAATAACAATTTCCTGTATCAGCTTGAGAGAAACTTTGTTTCCTTTATTGCATTTGTTAGTTCACTGTTACAGTCTCCAACCTTGAGGCATTTATAATTTAATGATATCGGAGTCAAAAGGGAGCGCTCTAGCTGTGATTCATTTAAAATAAAGTGCTTCAATATGATAGAAGCTTATAGATTTGATTGGCCACAATTATAGGCGTACCGGTGTTTTAACTTTGTTATTATTTAAGTTCTAATTTAAACAGTGTGCTATATTTAATCGTCAATGAATAATTTATTAGTTGTTGAACTGCAGTCTGAATATACGCTGTTATATCTAAATTTGTTATTGGAATTGAATTAATAATTTATTACATGATTTACTTTTTTCCCTTGCACTAAAAGTTTTTGTTTTATCCCAGGACCCATCCGACGGATCACCATCACCTCGAGCGGAGGATAAATCTGGTGGCGTTTCACCTTCCCCCAATGAAGGTCAATGCAATCAAGTTTAATCAAATAACACTATTAACTTAAACATAGCGCCTGTTTATTACATAGTTAATAAATGCGGAACGTACTTTTTACTATTCATTTGATACAGGCGCTTTATTTATAAAGTACTTCTTTGTTTGGAAACTAACTTTGAAATGAACTTGAAAACTTTTATAAACTAAAAGCGCGTAACTTTTCGGTTGGTGTTGTTGATATGAAAAATCTCGATATAATTAAAATATTCTTCGTAATTTTGTTTCTAAGTTCTCATTGGAAGACGAGAGTAATTGCGGGAAACTTGTATAGTGAAATTTTAATTAAGATACTAATTATATTGTTATCCTGTTATTTCAGGTGAGGCTGAGGGTGACGGTGAGCGGTGATGGTCGGCGACTACGCTGCTAGACAGACTGGCACAGCGCGGATTTGCTGCAGACACACGACTTGCTTTACCACCAACCGGTACATATCTTAATATTTCTCTTTTCTTTAGCTCTAGTATTAGATGTCAAAAGCGATCAATGTACATTAAACTGGATATAATCCAAGTCAAAACTTGAATAATTTTAATGTGACTTTGAGAATTTATAAATAATCAAGTGCTAAATTTACTAAGCTAGCATTGTACTCGATGTAGAAGCAAACGAACTTTTACATTTACGTTTTTGAATCAACTCGATAAGTTTAACAATAAAAAGAAGTAAATCTATACTCACATTAAATGAGAAAAGGAATATCGGTCTCATTAAAACAATCAATATTCTAAACTAACATGATTAAATAATTTATTGCCTATACAAAATATTCCAGGATGTGCACGATATAGGGAATTGTGTTATCGTGCTTCGCAGGCGCATCTACCAGCGGAATCACCGCCTCGGCCCTGCGATTGTGTCAACTGTACTGCTAGAAGAAACTCGAATACAGACGCCTGACATTTAGAAGAAACACGCCCTGTACCTACAGCGTCTGTTTACAATCGTTGTAGGTCTAATAAGGATTACACGAACTGATCTTATGAGTACATTTTATGTATGCTTGACGATTCTATTTGATGTTTTGGTATTAAGTATGTGTATTAATTGGTGTATTATATTCATAGCATTGCTTCAACGATGGTATATAAATGTAAGGTAATTACAGTATCTCTTTTTTCAACTTTAACATCTGATTGATGCATTACAAGCAATGTAACATTATCATGTATGAAGATTTATTAATAAAACGTATTTCTTTAGGATTAAATAACAAAATACGGTGATACAATTGCGTTACAACCGATCTAAAAATTTAAATTAAAAGATAAACTTCATTTTTTTTTGCACTCCTTGTTGGTATTTTTATAACAATTTATTACGTAATAGAAATCTATGAATACGAATCAAATATCTTTTCTTCCAGAAAAAAGCATTTGGAGACAGTCTGTCTCGTTTTTTAATGAAACATTTGTTTTTTTTGTAATTAGTGTTAAAATGTTTTTTCAAAGCTTCTATCACACAGCATTTTGATTGTTGAAAGATCAATAGATTTATCGACTTGAATGGCCTTGACATTCGGTCTACTTGTTTTAGTCCTAATATTACGTACTCAAAAAGTCATCATTTAAGGCATTTATTTTAAATTTCGGTCCTTAAAATGTATTTTATTTGTCTGTGCTAGTGCCTTACAATGAACCCTGGGTCCCTTTCAAACAGTGTTAGATTGTAAGGTAATATTTTGAGTATAAACTTCAATTTTATCTAATTCCCTAGGAAGTCTAAACTTTTTAAAGTAATTTTACTCATCAGCTTATATTTGGTAGTGTATAGAATCTTAATGTACAACTTACGACCGCATGTCAAATTCGATTTCTGTCCATTTATGTGTATAATTAGTGTTATTATTACTAATAAATAAATAATGTACATATCTTTACACAATTTATTGAAATATTACTACATGATAATTTTTATGTACTAAGACTAAACTGAAAACAATGTTTTGTAAAAAATATTATAATAATTAAAGCTATTTAATATAGAAAATGGAATAACTGTGGTCCAGACGGTAACTTACAGTAGTGACTTGCTGAAATATTTATAGATGTCTTAATTTTATATCTAAGATCAATTCTAGTGTCATACTTTTAGCCATTTTTAAAGATTCTAATCCGGCACTTTAACGTACATTGACATATTGTATTTTATAATACAATGCTTTATTTATTAATATAATTTACAACATCGATCTATTTCTCTCATTTTACTTACCCGATGTCATTAATTTTATGAACATAATTTCATTATCATTTAAATAATAATAGGACCTAATAAAAAATGTACTCTAAAAGCTTCATTAAAAAAATAAAATCTTATAAAAATATATATATCTATTGATAGTAGTGGTTAAGCAAATAAATATTGTATATAGAGGAATCAAGACAGTCTTGAACGTTAATTTAAATAAAACTTAATATTACTATTATTTTTATTTGAAGTAAATAAGAAATACACATGTCAAATAGAAACAGACTGAACAATCTGGAATTTTCAAAGTTAACTTTACGAGATTTTTACATAAAAAAAATATATATCAAAACCGTACTTTAGCATGTCTGAAAACCGTGTCCTATTTGATTGTATATAATTAAAAAAAAACAGTCGAAGAACATGTAACTATTCGTTGGGCAGATTTTCCTTTAAAAATGCATTATGGACGTCAAAAGATTTTGTCTTTAAAGAACTTATTTCAAAATTTACCACACGTGGCCTTAATCTAGTGATTATGTATACAATTTGTTATTTCTATATAGTTTACACAATAGTTGCAACCATCGGAATGGTTGGAAAAAGTTCACTCAAAATGAGCACGAGAAATGTTGGACTAATTTGGTTTTATAATAAATTCTATAGTTTAGTTGAGAATATAATCCATAGCTTATTCGCTACTTGCTAGTATCGGTAAGGTTTTTTAAAATTATGAAAATTTTAAGGTTCCAAGTCCATTGAAACCATTCCACATAAACGAGTATATCTAAAAGAAAATCTATTCTAAGAACTTAATTATACGATCGTGAGTCTATAAGAAAAGGTCGGAGGAAATTTATGCCAGAATAAAATTAAAAACATTAGGTATTTTGATAACACCAAAAATGTTTCTTATATACTCACATCGATAGAAAAAAATCATTTACAAATTCAATGATTGCGTTCATAGAAAATATATTTTACAAGTATAATAAAATAGGCGATTCTTAGCGGCTCTATGTGGACGTTTAAAATCAGGAAACTGCTTAGAAATTATATACAGTCATATCATCTGCTTAGACAATAAATAGACACTAGATAAGTGTATGTCCAAAAATAATTCATTAAATACATAAATAGCTATTTCTGTAAAATGTTATATGAAAAGACCTGTAAACTTTAGAATATTTTAAACCTGATATATGTATGACTAAGCAGGAATGTAAAACAAATGGCTGTTCAAAGTACTAGGGTACTATAAGTTATTGGGAGGTGACTAACGGCGATCAGTTCTGTGGCGTGGAGACGAAGTTAAAGGATATTGTAGATGTAGTTGAACGCCGTGGAGTCCACTCGGTGATAAAGTACCAGGATCTCATGTTAGTACAGGAGGTTATGTTAGTGTGGCTGTGTCACTCATTAACGCCGATAGGGATGATACGAGGACGATGAGTTAGCGCCGCCTGATGTCCCGTGGTAACTCCGTTTAGACGACTTCTGGTACCCGTCGCCCGATCCGCCCGTGTACTCGTAATCCTCACCTAATTGAACGATACAATTAATACTACGCCAACTATGTAACACTACAAAGCAAAGATATACAAGCCTCGTCTACATTACTGGTAATGAATAATATACTTACCGCACCACGCACCTCACTCAAACCACCGTTAAACTAATATATTCTTATATAATATCAATGAATACTATCTAGTTGTGAGTAAACCTATCGATGTATAGATGGGATCTATCTAAACCTAACATATGTATCTCATTGTATCTACTTCATCTATGTGCTTTTGTTAATAATAAATTTATTAAACCTGAAGCCGCTGCGGATATATCTGATACGTTACAGAACGACGGCTGTGGGGAGACCATGCCGGGGCAGTATATCATTGGCACCTGAGATATTACTCTTTCATTATATGTACTATAATAATCATACGTATTAATTTGATATATCCTATATATAATGTTATGTGGACCTGTGGGGGCGTTCCTATATTGTCGCTCAATGCGGGCATGGTAGCAAACTTGGGACTCCCCGCCGTACTGCCTACACCGTCGCCCTCTGTCGACGACGCTTCATTTTACTATCATCTTTAAACTAACATAACCCTTCAATCTACTCACACTACTTTAGATGATACTATTATTGAAAATGACAAAAATTTTAATAAGATATGAATACAGATTCTGTAAGTGCGAAGATTAGATAAATTTATATTTAGCTATGAACAAAAAAAATGTAAAATTAGTTAATGATGGTTACATGAATTTTTAGAAGACTAAAGTAATTTTTTTGTTCGTACAAAACCTAGTGTACAGATATTTAATTAAGAAAAGATAAATGATTATAAATACTTTACCGCGCTTGTGCTTGTGTTAGTCCATGCATGTATAGTGATGTTTGTATGTGTGTGTGTGATGTTAACATAATTAATGGAAACGAACCGTTGTCACTTTCCATGTGTCCATATAATTAGTAGTGTAAGACTATTATGAAACTAACAAGAATCTAATGTTAAATACATTTAAAACGCCATGTTGGTATATAAAAACAAAAATTATGATAACTTTGTTAGAGCAGCCCGCGCAGTGGACGTGTCACTATTCTATAGGATACAGGGGTACGAAACATTAAAAATGCCAGATGTATTTTGAAATTTTTTGATTTCTTTTAATTATCTACGTTTTATAATGTCCTTAAAGTAGATATATATTTCATCATAAGATATATCAAATATTTGCAGTGGTAATATTAATATTTTTTTTTAATTATTCAACCAGTAGTATTACTTAAACCATTAAGATAGAAGAAGCTTAATAATTAGGATACTACGACAAACTGTTTTTTTATTTTCCATTACATTACAAACTACATACTTATATGTATATTACCAGTTAAAACTAACTCTAATATATACCCAAAATACCTAATATGATTAATGCATAATTTCTACTTCGAAAAAACCTTAAGTGTTACTTCAATGTGATAGCACTTGAATTACATCGAATACTTTAATAGCGTACAAGCTTCTCGTCTTAATATTTTAGTGCTTCGGTTATATCAACCGTAATTAACTAATTATCATTAAGGTATCGTTAATTAAAAAAATAATAATAATTATAATATATATATGTATATATATAAAGTAAATGAAACAACAAGGACGCACGTGTAAGTCTATCATAATTTTCCGTTTTTATATAATTTATAAAGTTTCAGCGGGGCGCGCGGGGGAGGGGGCCGCGTGACGTCACACGCCTCCCTCGCCCGCGGCTCGACACATCTAGATAATAATAGTCTTACATTCGTAACATGCTACGTGGCTCGGTAGCCGCTTCCAATTAATTACATATTTCCTTTAAATTTTATTTATCCCTTTAAATATACGAAAATTAATACAGTATAAATACAGCGCCCCCGTACAGGGGCGGAGTTAGAGTAAAACTTATATTGCCCGTAAGTAAATATTACTTTAAATATTGTACATCAGTCGATAGTTCACCTAATAATTTTATTTTCTTCATGTAATCTAATCGATCGAGAATAGTGTACTTTATCTACTACAATGTAAAAATATAGTTTAAAAAATAATCAACATCAATTTTTTTTTTAATAAAAAAACAGAAATAAATAACAACTTGCCCTAAGTTTTTTTATAATAATTAATGTTACAATTAACTGTAAAGCCCGTGCGATTTAAGATAAAAAATTGTGTTCAATAATTACATTTATAATTATATAATAATCTAGTATAAATACGAGGATATTATTATTTATTTATTAATTTTTTTCTTCATATATCATTAATACCTGCATTGTTTTTAAAAATAACATCCGAACCCGACTATAGTTTACAATCGACTGCTTGATGTCGAAAACTTTTACCGACTAAATGCAATAATATTCAGACGTAGTAAGATTGAACTTAAAAGAAAATAATAAACAAACAAAGTGAAACAGAAAATCGTCTAATCTAACTTTTAACACTAGTTCCATCCTTTTATCTTTATAATATAATTAGTCAATTACGATCATAGTATTAATTCATTAATGCTCGGGCCGGCGGAACATGTAGGTCCGCACGCCCTCTATATCGTTATTATACCCAAAAATGAAAACAATATTACACTTTTACACAAACATGTCGCTACTACCAATAGAGATACACATATAAAGTAATACAAACAGGTGACCAATAAACGTTAACTACACAACATCACTACAGTTAAGCCATGATCATATATTTATTAATAAAACATTATTATTATTATTATAATTAAGATACATTTAGTTGTATGTTATCAAGTTAAGACGTGTGTATCATAAACGCATGTGCCACACGGACGCCGACACTACAACGGACAGACGAGCCTCTAAACGAATCTTACCGTATTGTATTTTGCTAACTATTTTAATTAATAAATTCATCAAATATTTTAATGCTCTCTTCCCTATATAATAATAATTAAAAACCCATATAAATAGTCTCAATTGATTTTTCTCACAATAATTTGCACTAAGTTTAATGTTTGAGTAAATCTAAAATTTCTAATACATATACTTTTTTTTTTATTATTTATTAAATAAATTATACTCTTTATGTTACTTAGAAGATTGCCACGATGTTAACATTACAAACTAACTTCTTACAAAAAATTGTTCCGATGGTTTTTCGCGTTCCCGGCAACTGGGGCCCATATCTAAAAAACACCTTAGTGCTAATTTAATATCACTGAAAATAACATAATATAAAAACATCTCTATATTCACTTAACTTTTGTAAGGCATCGTTTCCTTATATTAAAAAACATACGTGAAGTCGAACGTCGCTTCATCGGTGGATGTACGCTAAACCTACAGTAAGTCGTAAACAAGAAACCCGAGTAGGGGCCGCGAACAAAGACGGGGCGCAGTGGCTGAGGAGATGACGAGACAGAATACATACAAACAAACGAACACTACGTTACATTAGGAGCGACTTGAACGTGCTTGGGAAGTAACTTAGAGACGTACTTAGAGCGACAGTATAGTAAGACGCGTAAGATAAACAAAATTAACGAGGAATGAATTGAGACAAATTATAAACTAACTTACATAGGAACATTCTGATAAGTTTTACATATCGGGAAGGGTAAGAGACCGGCGCTACGTAACCTAGCAACTGGGCGTTTAGGCACAGACGTATTCATTTAATAATTATTAATTATAATATTGTTAAGGTACCAGTTCCGACATTCCTATATACTGATGTGTGTCAGTCGTGTGTATCGATAAATACAGCTATAAGGAAATGTTACCAATATGAGCGTTAACTATGAAACATCACACAATGTAAGGCGTATATATTTTTTATTTATTTCTCTCAACTATTTTCTTCATCTATTCTTTAGCGTATAATAATAGCTCCGCACCTCTCGCCGGACGTGTCTTATAATCAGATAAAAATTATACTTTACTTATGGTGCGATCTTAAATAACCCTATGCTATAACGATCAAATTATGCGTTCAATGTATTGACAATAATATTACATACGCCCCTCGCATCCTATTAAATTATCATAAACACATATAACCCGCCGCGCTCCGACCCACACCTCGGTTATATTACTTATAGCTTAGCACTAAAATTTTAATCAGTCGATCGATCAAGTGATTGAGCGATTTGTAAACAGTAAATGACTAATATTAAATTTAATCTAGAGAATGTTTATTTTAAAAAATTAATAACTCACGTACAACGGGTGCGGGCGGGCGCGCGGATCGCCTAACATATCTATACAGAGCTTTAATATATTTGGCGATCACGTAAATTAAAAAGGTATCCTTTAATACTATGTGACGAATGTAAAGTTATTAAAATTATCTTTATTTATTTTTTTTACACACAAGTAAGTATATATATATGTACAGGATATCGTCCGCGCGGTCAGTGCGGAGGCCTGGCACTATCCTAAATGCTTGAGCTTCTCTTAACATACATTATAGTTTTGCTCGTTTCCATAATTTGGCAGGTAAAAAATTCCCATTAAAGTATAAAGTATACATTACTATATAAAAACTTAAGATTGCGATAAAAAACTAAAATCCGTATAAGAAAAAAATAAAATATTATCATAATTATTACGAATTATATTTATACAGAATTGCTCCCTTCTTTTTTTTACAAAACGAAAAAAAATAACGACGGGAAATTAAAATTATTTAAAAAAAAATCACGTTCAGTCATACTTTGTTTTGTTAATTAATTAAACACATAATTATTTCATTACAACTCTACCGTTTTTCCTAAGTCTAGTGGGGTGGTAAACAACCAAAATTCTAATATTAAACATACATATATATACCAAATATTTATACAAGTCATTAGCTTAAGTTAAGTTTTGTTTAGGTCATCACCCTAAATTGGCCTTGTTTTATGTCCGTCGGCTGTGTGTCGGGCGTCGTATGCACAGACTACCGTGAACCACTACACAAATAGCGAGATCCCTATACCATACAATACACATTGCTATTAAAAGAAATCATTTTTTTTTAATTATTTAAAACGCGACAAAAAAGGTTTTATATAATGAAAGATCAAAGATATATTATAGGAAAAAAAAAATAAAGAGAAAAAACGTTAAAAAGGAGCCCACATCCAAAATATAAGAGTAATATAAAAAAAAAGAGATAATGAAAAATAAAAACTTTTTCCGTGTACAGAGACGGGCGCCGCGATACTAGGGGGGTTTGCTAAATCTAGTTGCATCTTGTAAACACCTCAACGACCATTGCTATCTAAATTTAATTTTAAAATTACAATTTTATTTTTATTAATTTTAAAACACTAAAAAAACATATTAAAGTACGCGTGTGGGTTTGTGTCAATGCAGTTGTCGCGGTACCTTCCGCTTGCATACGTTCCTTTTACACTAGTTTAGTAAAATGTTTACTTCGTAATATATTGCATTGTTATAAAAAATTTCAGCTTCTCATATTTCTATGTTAGAAATAACGGTATCAACTTTACCTATCAACTTTGCGAATATTCATTATCTGCTACATTAATGTTATAAACAAATTGTCAAAAGGTGCTAAGCAGTCATCGGAGGTCTATAAAAAGAATACGTTATATAATGTCATATAAAAAACTACAAGAAATGTAGAGCTGTCCATGATCTGAGTGTCGCTTGTGTTGAGAGTCGAATTGTTATATATACGCCGACCCGTCTAGCGCACACGCATTACACACACAACGTGGTGGGGGGATTAAAGTCTAGCGACCGCAGTCGGCTGCGGTAAGAGCCGCGCGAAGTCCGCGAACATCAAATGTCCATACATAGTAATGTATTCAGTAACGTTGGAACCGCGATCCGTAAACGATAGTTTCGCTAAACCGCCAGCACGCGTAACCGTTCACTCGGTACAGGGCCGTACTCCGCGGGGGTGCGTGTGCGTGTGGTCGCGTGTGTGGCGCGGGGTGCGCGGGGTGCGGGGGGCACTAGGCGGCTGGCCACTCCTTGTTAAACTCGTTGTTGAAGTGTTTGGGCGCGTGGTGCGGGTGAGGGTGCACACCTGGCGGCTGAGCGGCGGCCGAGTGGTACTCTCCGGCTGCGTAGCGCGACCCTCCGCCGTACGTGGAGCCCTGCCCGGTGGCCACACGTTAGCCGGCCGCCCTACTGCCCTGTGTCCTACCCCGTCTAGTAACGACCGGATTGCCAACCACTTTACATTTGCATCTTTGTTTTCCTTACACCGTTTATAAACGTGGGTATATGTTAGTTCTAAGTAATCTAATTGTCGAGTGTTGGCAATCCACAGTATCAACTCTCGCGAGACCCAGCCTGGCTGTTGTTTTTTTGTTAATACAAGTCGTAGGCCCTCATGGAACGTAGCTTAAATTTAATACTTCGCTACTAGACGAAGTACATTCAGGGTCGGTCTATGACGATCCTATATATTATTATATCGGACCGTGAGCGCAAAGGGGCCTATTCGGTTGTAAGGAAACGCTAAGTGGCCTCGGTTTAATATTCTTTTATAAGCAAACACTACATAGTAAAGACTTCAATAATTATAAAATATTATTCTATCTCATTTGACTTGATTACAATCTATGGAATTGGGCCACTTGCGTTCACAATGTGATATCGGCGGTTCCTCGTTTGACTGTCCGTCCACGTGTATCAAAACCGAAAAATAACCAGTCAATTAAAATCGATTAAGATTCTCAAGTGTCCGAAAATATCAGACGATAAATCTAACGAGGAACCGTTGAAATCGATACAATGCTTGTGGACACACGGAGCAGAAGCCATATCATCGACACACCGTTACATAGCAAACTGTTCGATAGCTTCATCCTGTTTATTGTATTGAAATTAGTATAAAAATATAAATTTTATCAAACGAACTTAACATTCTGGCTTCGGCGTCCATGTGTCACGTGCCTTGTAGGACGCTAAGTGTGACCGTTGCTTTATATTTTGAATGTTTTGAAACGTTTAAAATGTATTCTATGGGGTGGGGGCGAGGGGCACAGTTAGCGTCCTCCTCAATAATAGGGCACAGCTGCACGTATGCTCATGGTTACATTTAACAGAATAGTTGGAATTTCATCTCTGAACACTTAAAGTACAGCTCTTAATATTATTTTATGATTATATATTATCTATTTAATGAACCTGTAACAATATGAAAAATCCAAATTTTACTAATTTGTACTTTAAATGCCAATTTACATGTGTTGAGATGAAACAAAGCTATTTAATCATCTCGCAAAAGTCTACAAAAATGCAATATGAACATTAAAAATGGAACTAAATGTAAGCTTATAATCTAGTGCGGTGCGATGCCTTTAAGGTGAGGCCTCTTAATCGTCGCGCGACCGAACCGTCCATAGTGAGAAATCCCCAGAGTTTCGCGACATACCCTCATCCGAACCCACCCTTAGTCTAATTGTCTTTCTGGAGGAGCCACTCTTGTGGGCCCTGATCGACCAACTGGAAAAGAAGAATTACAGACATAAAGTCCCACTCGCCACAATCCCGCGCGGCTAGCACATGTGTAAGTAGCGCAGAGCGTGAAGATGGACGGGCAAAGCGTGAGTCGTCCCACGGGGATGAAGTGAGGTGTGGAGGGGCAAGGGGACCGTGAGGAGGGGGTGATGAGAGACCTTCAGCGAAACTGACTAGTTTACACCTAAGACGGAACCTTCTTGATTTGTCACTATGGATGCGGTGCGAGCCTCGTGCCCACCGGATCGAAAAGACATCGCACTGGTCGCCCGAACATGCGGCGACGTACACGTACACTCACACAGCACACTCCCGACTAATTAATGTATATAAATCATGCTGCAATCACCCAGTCTCATAAGTTCATAACTTTTTGCGATCAACATTAATCATAGGAACATCGTTTTCGCTGAATTTCGCTCGCTCACCGTTGGCACGCCTCTCAGTCAGTACATCCGCTCCGTACACACCGATCGCAAACAAACTTTATAGTACAACCAAATTGACCATCACTACCAAACGTTCATACACCAGTCATGCGATCACCACGACATACGGAAACCACTTCAAACAAATGGGGGAGGTTGGATGCAGGAAATAAATCAAGATAAAGCGGGATGTTTGTTCGGGAATGTGGAAAGCAAGCCCCGAGGATTAGCAAAAAAATCAAAAAACAAAAAAAAAACTAATTATAACATCAACTTGGCTGTACTTTGTAATTTCTATCTATTGCAGCAAAGTGAACCATTTATAACTGGGATATTCGTACACTTATTGTTTTACTTACGTCAATGTTAATATCGAATTAAATAAGTTATGTTTATATAAAAATATCCCAGAAATATATATGGCGATGTTTGTTTGCGACTAACTAATACGGAAATGAAACTTTAGAAATAAAAATAAAATAAAGCATAATCTTTACGTAATAAAATAATAAAAAAAGATCAAAATTATAATGATAGAAAATTGATAAAGTTTCGCTCCAGTACCATAAAGACAATCACGCACACAGAATTCAATGAAAAATCTTTTAATCAAGCACTTCTATGATAATGAAACAAACCGCAACCCATTCAGCTGTGTGAGTCAGGCTTATAATATATGAATGAACCTACAACTAATGAAGCACTCTATTCCCAACTGTACTACACACATTATGAAGGATTTACTTAGTAATACGAAATAATGAACAACCCTTTACGGTTCATACAGTTGGAAACGCACTAGATTCAATGAGAAGCATGATGAATGTTAACTAAAAATGTTTACTAAATGTATCCAAAAACCATACAAGACCACAACCGGTGTTAATGATTTAGACGAAAATAATAATCTATGTAATTTGGCATGAAGTAAATAATTTATGGATTAATCATACCAAGTTATATAGAGGTCATGATAAGCTCGTTTAAACATTTAATTGATTACTGTAACTTAAAACGCTATCCTGATACTTCCAAGAATGTATTCACTTGTATATATGAAACTTATAGTCGGTAAACTTTTGACATTTAAACAAATATTATTCTTGGAAGAGTCATATCAAGCAAATGTAAGCAATTATCCTTATAAAGATTATATACTATGTATTTCTGTACTGAAAGAAATTTGAAATTTATTACATTAAATGTTGAATTGTGGATCTTGACAAAAATAATATATTAATAAATTTCAAACCATAAAGACTTCGGTGACGTAATACAGTTTTTTTTTTAAAGTTGCATTAAATATCATTAATGTATAATTCGAATTTTTTGTTTGTATGTAATTTAGTACTTTTAAGTTATTAATAGATGGCAGCTGTAACAAAAATTGAACACGCATGTAAAATCCTCCAAGCAATGCATAAGTTAATAAAATATAATCATGATCTGGTGACCAATAGTGTGTTTCGTTTGCAAAACCCTGGGGTACTTCTTACAAGCGTGGAGGTGTCTTGTAAAATTAAGGTAAGTCCAACCGTTCCGTTAGTATTGTATTACGTCATCGCGTCTGTACGTAGTGTGTGCGTGTGTGTGTGTTGCTTGTATGTGTGCGTGTACCTGATCCTGCTGGTAGGCTGGCGGGTACTGCTGGTAGGTGGAGTAGTCAGCGGACGAGGACTTGGAGAGGGCGGCCGAGGACAGCGCCCCGGCGAGGGCCGGCGCCGCGCCCGTCCCGCCGCCACCACCGCGACCGTACATCTCACCACCCTCCGACAACGGGACGTACGAGCCTGGAATTACACAACACGTGTTAATTAAACACGTCTCAACTAGTTTATGATATTAATGTTATAAATGAATCATGCTACACATATTATCTTACACTAATAGTAATACTAAGTAACTTATAGTATATAACACGAGCAGGACTCGAACCTGCTTCTTTCGTGACCGTCTCTCGAAAGTAGCAGATTTGTAGTACCGTTCAAAGTAATGTCCATTCGCTACATAACATAAAATCTCATTTGACCGTGTCATCGTTCAGCGAGGCTGTGAGGCTGTTCGTGTGACTCACCGGAGCCGGTCGAGTTGGAGTTCTGCGGCATGCTCCAATTAGTCCAGCTGCCGCCGGCCGAGGCGCCCGCCGGCGCCGAGCTGTAGTTCGCTGTACCGACAATTCTTTATTAGTCCTCTGTTCGCACGCGCGTTCGCGTCTTCGTAAGCAATTTGAGATACAAATCTGAAGGATCAGCGCGTCGGTACATCGATACGAATGAATCCCGAACTCTCGTCACGTTTAAGCGAATCGCCCCTTCGATCTTCCTCGGATTTGAAATGAGATTTTCTGAATGTAGCTAATGGTATCGAAAACCAAAAACGGTAGTAAAAGGCCGTGGTGTATCACACGTACCGTAGCTGCCGTATCCCTGTGCGGGCGGCTGAGCGTGCTGCGTGTAGTTGTTGGTGGCGGGCCAGGCGGGCGCGTGCGGCGGCGCCTGAGGCGCGGGCGGAGCTCCCCAGCCCTGGTAGTTGCCGGGGCCCGCGCCGCCGCCCGCCGCGCCGTACCCAGCGTACGAGGTCTGCCCGGCCGACGTTCCCCAGCCCTGGTATCTGTTGTGACATCACCATTGAGTCTCGTTTCTTCACTAGTCGTTCCAATGTAACATGTCCTATGTCTGAGTCACTCACCCCTGCATAATGTTAGGTCCGGCCATGGGCATGTTGATGGGTGGGCCGCCCATCTGTCCGTTGTGTCCCTGTATGATGTTCATGGGCGCAGCTTGTGGTGGTCCCCACTGTCCGGCGGCGGGCGCGTCTCCCGGCGCTCCCCCCATTCCTCCACCCATGCCTCCTCCGGAGCCCAATTTGCCAGAACCATCACGAGGCTCCGCGCGCTTGATCTCGACCTAACACAAGCAATTTATGTACATCCACTCAACGAGTGCTAGATGATGTTAAATATTTTTTTTACTAAAATTATAAATTTAACTTGTCACAAATGTTATAGACTCGCTTGCTATGTATATCAAACGAGTATATGCTTATCTGTTTGTTTATCTACCACAAACTTGTGAACGTACCTCCACTATGACACATGGGGCACTGCCTGGATGTGGTACACATATATCAAGCAAACTACTTTTAATACTATCAATACCTGTTTGCCATTCAGGTTGATGAAATGCTCCTGGGTGACTCTCTCAACAGAGATTTCATCTTCAAATGACAGGAAGCCGAAGCCTGAAAATTACAAGATATTACGTAACGATGCTTCTACACCCTATAAAACAATATATTGGTATCCAAGCTATGTTACTGTTGCAATCTTAATATCTTCTGACTCACAAAAGCAAGAAGTATATTCCATCGCATTCAATTTCCCACAAACATCTGAACGTACCAACAACAATACGTTGATGGCACTGCCTGGATGTGGCAGTTGCGATGTGTATTTTTATATATATAATTCTTCTGTGAGTGTGTATGTCACTAAACTTCTCTCAAACGACTGGACCGATTTCAATGAAATTTTTTGTGTGTGGTCAAGGGGATCTGGGAATTGTTTAGATTCACAATTTTGTCCGCTGGATAATGTTTTTTAATTATTTTTTAATTTATTAGTAGTTGTTGATACAAACGTTTTTTTTTGGACATTAGATTTGACAACTAACTAATATGTCAATCATTCTGTCGCACTTCAAAACACGGAGATTTATTTCGGCTTTAATAGATAAACTCCAAAAACTTTATAAAACCCCTTAAATATTTTCATGACTATCTCTAGGTCATTTCATACCTCTAGACTTCTTTTTCTCCTGGTCATACATGATGACGACCTCCATGACCTTGCCGTATCGTCCAAAGAACACGCGCAAGTCGGTCTCAGTGATATTAGATGGCAGACCTCCGAGGAACACCTTCGGGTATCCGCCACCGCGCTTCGGCTTCTGGAGAGTCCTTGGATTGCACGGCTTCGGGTCGATGGTTCTATAAAGGGAGCACCATCAATAACATATCCAAGAAAACATAACTAGCTTTATTATTATTAACCTTCGAAGGTGAACAAAATTTATGCCTTCCTTAGAAATATATGAACATCGTGTGCGTCATTTAACGAGATATATATAATAGTAGTTTCTGTATGATTTGAGATTTATTTGAATAAAGAGGTAAGTCAAGATAAGATTCTAAAGAAGTAACAAGCAATATAAATAATAAAAATGACTCATTAATAATTTTAAGTACTTTTTTATGCCTAATAATAATTGAATATTGACTTTTACAAGTTATTAAAGGGAAGCGAGCTACATATTTCATTCTTTAGCAATATTATTTTTATTGACTGTTTCCTTAGGGTTGTCAATTACGTTAGAAGTGAGCAAAAATGTTAACCAGAATTTTGTAATATAAAAATTATTTAATAGTGATATAACGATTTTATAACATAAAATGAAATTGATCTTATGCATCACGTTATCTTAATGGACAATTATATCGTAAGACATGATATTTAGCAGAAATAATCTTATTTTTCAGACGAACATAGCCATTACAATGAGTAATTAGTGAAGCAATTAACGAACAATATCATTTTATTCTCATATTTTATTTTACGGTATATTCTTGTATCTGTTATTATCACAGAATCTCGTCTCTTACAGAACTTTCACTGGCTTTATCTTTAGCTATTAAAATCATTATAGAGTATAAAAACCGCTACGTTTAAATAACTTACAAAACAGTGTTTTATTTAATTTTAATTAAAAATGTATACTAGTATATAATATTGTAGCAAACTTTGTAGACTCAATTGCTATTAAACAAAAAGTATATGCGGTTTGCTAATAATTTGCCACAAACATCTGAACGTACCAATAATATAATGATTAATGGCACTGCCTGGATGTGGTACATGCTCTATTCATCTCGATAGTAATAACGTGAAACTTAATTATATGACATAAATAAATTAAAGAATATTCTGTATGTAGCGTTGTTAGTCGTATTAGCAGTTCTCGTTAAGGAGAGCAAAGTCAAAAGGGGTTTAAGAGTAGGGTGGGGCGGGGCCTGCTAGCAAAGGGGACGAAGTAGGCTCGATCGACACTGTTAGAAGTAAAGGGCTGCCTTTAGACAGAGTTCGAGGTATCGAATAAATTATACTAGAAATCTTACCGTAATGTAAACACACGAATTGTTAATAACGAAGGTCATTATGAAATAGTGATACGATTATAACGCTCCGACAATACTGTTACTAAATTGTAACAAATTATCGATAATTCAAAGTGAAATCGAGGAACGGTCCTTTATCGTGGAGATTACTTAGCTTCACACGAAATGCTAGTGTTACAAACACGTTTATTTCGACCGAACTATCGATTGACATAGATTTTATGGCAATTTATCACGTTTTGACTGGATCAGCTGACGTGGTGATGAATTTTGGAGCATAGGCTTATAAAGCATGAGTTATCTGGTTTCTATTTCATGATAGTCACAATAAGCAACCTAATATGAGCAGTTTAAAACGTCTCGTATTACATTCAACGTAACGCATCTCCCACCTAATATGATTGATATAAACTTTATAATGTTGATTTTATTTCGTTGGTTTGAGATTATTCATTGTTTGAAAATGCTCACATAAAAATTGTTTAGAATAGAGCTATCATAAATAAATTATAGACTTTTAATTTATAATTTTTACATTTAATTATATTCCAAGAATCCTGTTCCAAATTCTGCAAGTCACAAAACCTAATATCTACTAACTAAAAAAAAATACAAAAAAGTGTTCTTGAATATTTAATGTTACAGAAATAGACACTTGATAAATTAATGTAGACCAAAAATAATTTTGATTACTATAATTTTATACAACATATTCACAGATGTGCAAATATTCAACAATAAAAATGACTATCTGTGAAATTTGTGAGTTAAAAAACTGTAGTGTGACTGAAAATATCAATTTAAATGAAAATCTTGAATTGATGCCATAAAAATGATAGCGGTAATAATGATAATTATATTCAATACAGTAGATTAAGTGTAGTGGTGTAACTAGTCTGATTAACAGATAAAAACACCTACACCATTTAACTCCTTCATTTATATAAGTATTCTCAATGTTACTTGTTGCTTTGCCATTTACATAACTGAAATCTATATACAGACGGGGTTCAATGTATCAGTGTTATATACACTAGTTTTATATAACCTCAATGGAATAAAAAAAATACCTGATTTTACATTCCAAAGAATTTAATGTAGTTGTTACTATTTGCAATTATTTAACATATCCGGTTTGTGTCATGAATATTTCATTGATCCAAAAGCTAAAGTTTAGTGAACTATTCTGTTTAAATCTATTTATATTTTATTATAAATTTAAATAGTAATATATTTATATATAATGATACGTACCTGCCATCGAGTTGATGGGGACCATTCTGAAGCACAACATTGACCAGGGAGGGTTCAGCAAAGGTAACGAAACCAAAACCTCTCGAGCGGCCGGACTCGCTGTTCTTCATAACAACACAATCAATCACGTCGCCGTAGCGCGAGAAATAACGCTGCAGGTTCTCCTGCGATGTCTCCCATGATAGACCGCCAACAAACAGTTTTCTGTACAGAGATTTAGTATTTATTAATTTTGACCACTTTAGGATATATAACAATTAATAAAAACCTCCATATATGTACATACAACCATGTAGAGGATATATAATGAGTGACAATGCTTGATTTGATTATTAATGTTATTTCATCATGACTTTTTTGGTCTTTCTGCTCGGCAACTTAGTTCAAAAACCAATATTAAAAAGTTAGGTTATTTTAAACTATTTACAATAATACTAAGATTCTTTTGCTTAAATTTAGCTTCTAACTTAATAGTTCAAATTCAATAATTCTATAAACTTGGAAAGTTACAAACTAAATATGTATATCAACACACATTCTAATCTCAATTTCTAATACTAAAACAAATATTTTAACTGTATAATGAGGCGATACATTCAATTGGTTGTCAAATTTTATTAAAGCAACCTAAATACTGAGACAGAAGTCATTATCTCCGTACAATATACAACATGATAAGTAATGTCTTTAACACGTAAAGGACATATGGCTTGTGAAAGGGGAGGTGAAATGCATAAAATGCTTTCACTGATAAAATTATAACATCTATTATTAGAATGAGTGTGAGTGAGTGGAGTGAAAGTACAGTGATTGGTATATGTAAATGTGCTTATAACACATTTTTATAGCCTAAAATCTCCACATGACATTTAAGGTTATGGCATTTCAGATAATCTTGATACAGTATGATGGCTCTTAAAGTTTAAGATTACGTCAATAACGTTTTAAAATATTCTAGGGCAGAACGCGTCACTGGTGATAAAACACGCTACATACGAAAACTAGCCGAGTAAACAATGTAAACAAGATGCTGGCTATGCAGATTTTGTGAAACGCCGAAGTGGCATCTGAGTTCTGACAAGTAACCGTATGCAAATGAATCAGCATGTTTTAGCAGGCATTCGCTAACGAGATTCAGCTACGCGGCAATTCCAACGGCGTTCTATTAACCTCATTACCGGTCCAAAAATCTCAATTTTCGTCATTATAAGCTTTTTTTAGTTAGCATCGAAGGTGCCATGAAATTGTAAATTTGATAAGAGAAATCCGCAATTGGTCACAGAAAGGTTAATATTACATATTGCGACGTTTCCGCATACCTTGATACTGAAGCACGATTATATAAACATGAAAGGAATAATTCTCAGATTATAAGCATATTGTTAAATATGGCACTGGTTATAATGGGAAAGTAAAGCTGCCATGATCCGTACACGCAAGTCGCACGGCAAGGCTTGGGGTCGGTGGCCGCTCGCCGGTAAAAGGCTAATTAGGCGTACGTGAACTGTAACTATGTCATTCATTATTATCTAAATGCAATCATAAATCAACCTAAAATTTCATAAAGTAACATGTTGATAAAAGATAAAAAAACGATGCCCAATGAGCCTCGCTGGCTAACCGTGAAATGCGACACACCAAGCGAACATGCAGTTTGACCTATTATAGTTAAAAAACACCCAAAACAATTTTTGTGATTTACAAAATCATATAAATATACGCTTACCCCTTCTCATCATCGTCCATGTCTGGATTCATACGCATAACTTATTACTAATTAAAAATAAATGATTGGCACCGGTAAGACACCCTAACCACACAAGCACAGACCCACACGAATGATTATGGCGGACCAACCACATCCGCTTTCTCAAATAAGTCATGGAAGGAGGAAGTGATCAGTTGACGAACTATAAATTACAAGTATTTTTATTTCCTCACTATCAAGAAAAATACTTTTAAATTAAATAAAATTAGTAATAATATGGTTTAATAATATATATTTATTGCCTATATATTTATAAACAATTAATAAAATTTAAAACATTGCTAAAATGTACTTTCTTGCACAAGATGGTGGACGATCGTTATTGCCATATGAAATATTTCTTAGTACTGTCCCACAAATAATAAAAATTATAAGTATTGATCCTTATTACTATTTTTTTAATTAATGATTATACTTTCCTATATAAATTATGATTATAAATGGTTATAAAGTTGTTAGAAATTGCTTTCCATATAGTAATATAAACACCTTATGGAAAACTTATAAAAGGAAAGGTAAATCATATTAGCCAGATAAATCAAAGTATTAAAATATATGGTGAAGAAGTAAAAAAAAGAAACATTTATAATAACTCAAAAAATAAATGGAGGCAAAATATATATTACAATCTCAATTTTAAAAATTTATTCTAATAATATTTTATAAACTTTATGGGAACATCCGATATTTTTTTCTTATAAATCATTTGTGAAATTTGATTGATATTTATGTTTTTGATGTAATCAATAAAAGAAAATACACATTTTTATAGAACTATTTACGAATGAAACATATCTTGGTCATACAATATAGGAATTGTAAGATTTTATTGTGAATATTTCTGATTCCTAATCTTATCTTTAACGTCTGCTATTCATTATTTTTATCAAAAATTATCTATGTATTAATATTCACTACATATTTAGACCTCTACTTAATACTGTTGATCATGAAAAAACCTAATACCTTATACAATGGGTTGGGATAAATGCAATATAGTGCTCAGTAATACAGAATCGTATTTTTATACTAATAATATTGTCTCAGGAACTGTTACTTTAGAATCAAAGAGTAAACGCAAGCTAAAAGGTATTATATTCTTTTTAATATTTTATTAAGACACACGACTAACTTAAGTTTGTAAGTGCGTCTGTTTGTTACTAAGTGCAAACGACAAATCAATGCAGCCAACTTTTATACAATTTTTTGTTAAGAAATTCGTTGGATCTCCGTCTTATATGCGTCTTTTTCTTGTTTACTGTTTTAATATAAATGTTTTAATACATATATATCATACATCCTGAGATTCATTCGTTCGTTTATATGTACTTATGTTTTTTTTAGTAGTAATTTAATTTTCTGATAAATAAAACCCATATATCGTCAACATCGACTAGTTATTTGATTTAAAACCAGCATGTAACTATAGAAATTCATAAAAATTATTGGTGTAATGAAAGGACTAATTGTTTTAGATATTACTTTAATCATTAATGGAACCAGTAAAGCCTCGTGGTCACGATCAGCACCTACTATGCCTTATATTAAAATATACACTGAGAAAAAAAAAGTTTTTGAGCTTCAAATCGATATTTTTAAGGAATTAAAAGGTAAATTTTGGACTTACGAAGTCATTGAACGATTGAATAAAAAAGAGGCTGAAACTTAACTATTAATTCCAATACATTTTTAAGGTCAAAAAGTAAAATCAATCAGTTCTCAATTTGATTTCATTCTGCCTCCGGACCTACCATCAACATATGAAGATTCGGTAGCGAAAATATATTATCACATTACATTAAAGGAAAAGACACAACAGATACTTAAAATTCCTATAACGGTTATAAGTTACGTGAACTTAAACCATCTTCACGAATACAAGGTACCTAAAAATTGGCTATGATTTTATAGAAATACAATATAATATCCAGAGATATATATATTTTTTCAGGTGCCGACTATTTATGATATGACAAAGGTATGTCGGTTCTCTGAGGAGGTAGTGGTTTTTTTGAGAACATATAAATCTTTTGCTCCTCAGCAATTCGTACCTTTCGAAGCGATAATATCCAATGAAAAAAATGTATTCATAACAAAAATTGAAGTTAAACTTATTCAAGTAAGTAAATTCGATTTTAATTAATATCTGTTATTATATATTTGTTTTTGTGCCTTTGCTTTATAGGTTTAATTTTTTTGTTTATAGAAATTGGAGTATAACGTCTCCTCAGGTTATTATAATGCAGAAAAAACGGTTTGTAAGAGCGAGCATCTTGATATTCAAAATGTTGCCAGACTAACATGCCGTTTTGGTATGAATGTTCCTAAATTAATTCCTTCAGCACTAAATGACTACAATCATACGGTAAAAAGTTCATACTTATTACGGGTAAGTTACTGTGTATGTTTAATTTTTGATGTAATCAATACCATAAAAAGTAATTAACTAATTTTACAACTTAGGCAAATACCATGTGGTATTTTTCATTTTGATAATATTATACTTAAATACTTATGTGTTTGTAAAATACTTATAAATATTTTTCTTTTCAGGTTAAAATAAGTTTTCGGTTTCATTTTCCGTTATATTCTGATATACCTGTTGTTGTAACTTCCATTCCAGTGGAACATGAAATATTTTAGTTTCGTTATAATTTTTATACTTAATAGTAATAAATTAAATAATAACTGAAAGTATTTTATTTAAAATTTTCACATTCCGTTTAACAATTTATATAAACCAGGTTACTTTTTTAGCACCCCATAAATTGAAATAAGTATTTAAAACATTACAACGTTGAAAATATGTGTACATATAAAAAAATATAAAACATTTTATATTATTTTATAAATTAATAAAAAGTAATCTGTGGATATAGATGTTTTATAAAAAGATATTGATTTTTAAAATACCAATTACTGTTACTTAGGTTAAGTGTTTTAAAATACTTATTATACAATTTTTAGGTTTGTTGACAAGGACTTTTTACACTAAATGTCATACATAACTCTAAGTCAGTGTCAAATAATTTTAGCTGTCAAAGAATTATTAAAATTTATTCGAAATTCTGCTGTTTTTACGTCTTACGCTAATTTGTAGATATGGACATCTACTTTGTTCTGTATTTTCTTTTCATCTAAAAGCTATATTTTTCTACATCTTAATGATACATAAAAGATATTAGTTTAAGCATTACGTGGTTATTATAAGTAAATAACTGTAGGTTATGTCTTATCCCGTGTTATTCCATAATAAAAAGTAAGTATATTTTACAGCTGTTCCTTTTTTAAAAATAATGTATCATATTGAAGCCGATCTACTTTTCTATAATGTCTCGTGGTATAACTGTCTTATTTCTTTAGCATACCATTCTAAATCCTATGGTCTTGCAACAGCAACATCAAATCCGGCAGAATCTGGCATTTTTCTACTTTTTAAAGTTATGACACATGATTGGTCGAGAAAAATATATATTTGCCTCATAAACTTACAGCTTCATCACATACCTCAAAAATTAACCACATTACATTGAATTCTGGTAGTTAAATGTTTATTTTCAATGCTATATATAAATAATATATAAAGTTGTGTAATCATTTAGACCTTAGTATAAAATAGTAGTATAAGTCAGCTCTTAATACTTGTTCTAAATAAATCATATGAAGGTAAGGTAACATGAGTGATGCTGACACTAAAGTTAGTATTCTCAAACAGTGTCTTAGAAGATCTTGGAAGGTTTGCAACACATAAGTTATATTTAAGTATTAACTTACACTAAAAACTCGAAGAATAGAATTTAATACAATACAATAACAGTATTGACAAGAATAAACGAAACATAGTATTTGTATAAACATTGCTTATCTATTATAAATATAATTATTGAAATACATTTTTTATACTACTGTGTTATTTTCATCTTCTTGCTGATGAATATTCAAAAATAGGAGAGTATCTGGCATTAATCGATAACAAATTTACCTAAACCTTCAAAGTTTGTGATTTTAATACCTTTTTTGCCAACAATTAAACTAGATAAAGTTATACATATAAATAAATATTATATAATTTATGTTAAATAAGTAAATAAGTGGTTATCTTGCAGATAAAATGGATCCAAACATTTATGCTCTAGTGCTAGACACACTAAACAGAGCGACCAGCCAAGATGCAGAAGTTTTAAAGCCAGCTGAAAAGAAACTCCAAGAATGGGAAGTAGAGCCCGGCTTTTATTCAGTACTATTGGTAAGTATTACTTGATAAAATAATATCAATTTGTTCTCAATAATGAAGGATTTTAATGTAAATTATATTAAGGTTTAATTTAAAAAAATATGAATATGAATATAATTCAATCTAGTTATAAGTATATGTTTTGATTTTATTCAAGGAGTTTTTTATTTAATATTTCTGTATTATTTTTATTTTTAATTTGCAAATCAAGAATTTCAAAGCTTCTCGGCCTTTTGGCTAAGATCAAAGTGTAAAGCGTTTTAATTCAAAAAAGTGGGGTAGAAAAAATACTTTATAAGTGTGATATTAAATTAAAAAGGACACAATAATAATTAGTTTTGCTGTGTATTGACTGTAAACTAACATAAAAAAAAATTATTTAACGATTTACTTTTAAATTTACTACATATTGCAAAAATTCCTTCAACATATTCATTTATAAATATGATAAACATATAAGGCAAATTTGGTTGATAGAATTTAATTTGAAGTGTGGTGTGAAAACAAATAATTGTGTTGAAACAAAGTAAATAAGTAATATAACATAATCCATTATGGTACATACCTGAATGTTATAATTTAGGCTATACAGTTTTTATAGTGTTCAGTTTATATTTAGGTGAAATTAGTATCTAGATTTATTCATGATGTATTAAAATACTTTGTTTTTTAGTTATATATATTTTTAACTTAAAAATCTAAAAGTAGGTACTAAGTATATATCAATTACAGTTATATATGTATAAGTTACACTTTAAATATTACTAACTGAACCTTTCACTTTACCATTGTGATTGGAATAAAAACCTTCTAGGATAAAATTTATAATTTTAATTGTTATATGTTAAGGTAAACTATTGAATCCATTTGGATTTAATTTGCTATGAGAAATAGTATGGTTTTATCCTGAAAATATTCCACAAGAACATAAACTAGGTAAATTTAATCATAACTTTCTGCTAGTAAAATGTAACTGAACAAAGGCGTTTTTAGATGTTGTAATTCAAAATTTTATGTCATTTGTAAAAAATCAATGAACAATTATCAACGAATTATCTCAATTTGTCATACAATTTTTTTAAAAGCTTTTAACTGTAAAATAAACTTCAAGATTTATTTTTAAGTCTTAATTAAAGAAAAAATAAATTGTTACAAAGCTGCTTCACATTTACATTATTATTTACTGCAAATATACATATACATATATGATTTTACATATTTATTATTATTTTATATAAATGAATACTCGCGAAAGTCTTAGATCTCATTATAATTTTAAGTGTTTATATTATTCAACAGAATGTCCTATCAAACCATTCAATCGACATCAACGTGAGATGGCTGGCTGTGATGTGTTTCAAGAATGGGGTCGATCGCTATTGGAGAAGGAACGCACCCAATGCTATCACCGACGAAGAGAAACAGAAACTCAGACAAGGTCTACTGACTACTCCAATACTTAGTGAACCAGTTGCACAAATTGCTACACAACAGGCTGTTCTTATATCTAAAATTGCAAGGTATGCTATTAATATTATATTACTTAATATTTACTATATACTAGTATTTGATCGCGATTTTGTATTAGGCTTAGAAAGAAATGTCTAAAATATAATAAACTATAGGTATGGTAAGTAATGAGTAGTGACATCTATACTGTGTGTCTCATGTGAGTTACTATACAAGTTATTATGAATATACTGTTATTAATTAAACCCTCGAGGCAAATACGGAATGCTAGGATAAATTATAATCCATGTCTTATTCTGATATCCAACCAACGTTATTGTAAAGTTCCATCAAAATTTGTTCATTAATTTTTTCGTGAAAGTCTCCCAAACATCTATACACCCATTCATTTTATTTTATAATATTACGGTAACGCCTTTAAAGCTTGAAAAGGGTTGGAGAACTACTCATTACTTAATAATAAAAATATTAAATAGACTTATTGATCTTGATGGAACATTCCACTGTTGACTAAAATCAATGTCAGTAATAATACAAATGAAAATTGAGTTAACGGTTTTTTAACACAGAAAATAATTTCAATCAAGCTATAGAATATAACTGATCATTGAAAATTAAATTTCCATGTACATTTAAATAACTGACAAATAGTATTATGTATGGAAATAAATTTAATGTCTGTCTGTTTGTTCTGTCTAATCTCATGAACGACTAGACAGATTTTAATGGGACTTTCACTGGCGGGTAGCTGTTTTAATAAAAAATAACATAGGTTTTGTTAATTTTAGAATAATTTTAAATGTAATATTTCTATGTCATCTTTGTTTGTCTTATAGATTTGATTGTCCAACAAACTGGCCGACATTACTCCCGGATCTAACAAGTGCCATGAAAGCTCCACAATCGTTGTTACAACACAGATCACTGCTGATCTTCCACCATGTAGTGAAGGCATTGGCTTCAAAACGACTCATAGAAGACAAACGGACATTTCAGGTAACCATAGACATTTTTTACCTCAGTATTTTCTCTAATATGTGGTCATTTTTATCAAGGCTTTAAACATGTAAATGTTATCTTTGAATATAGCATGTAAGGATTTAAAAGTACTCCATCAGGGCTAAAAAGTGTCAAATGCAATAGATACATTTGTAAATACATAGTTATCAAATGAAACAAATATATTTTTAAATTCGTATTATGTGCATCAAACTTACAACTGTTGTATATTTTTTATTCAAGATATGTTACAACAAAGAGGTTTTACTGAATTTATATAGGAATAACAAAAAGAGAAATAACATTGTATAGAATTTGTAGTTGAAAGAAGAATGTCTTTTTTACATTCTGTATAGTTATTCTGTAATTTTTTATAAAGATGTTATAAAAATAAGAGCTTATCTATTTGAGCTCTGTATGTTAAAATCATGCTATTTAAAGTTTTATATTTAAAGTGTACCAAATTTAGATCATTATAAGCTTACCAATACATTTACAATGAAATTGTAACTGTTATTGAATATGAAAATAATAATTATATGGTATTCAAATTAAGGTACTACTAGTACCTTTCAATAATGATACTAAAACAAGAGTATTTCACATTATATAGTTGTCATACAAGTATGTAAAATATAATACATATTGTTATATGTACAATTAATTTATATTTAATATTCCAGGAACTAACAAACTCAGTATACGCTTTCATCCTGAATCTATGGCATGAGAACACAGAATGTTTTCTAAGACACATACAAGAGGGCGCCTCTACTGAGTTGATAACAGAACATTTAGAAAAGGCGTTGTTATGTTTGAGAATACTTAGGAAACTGACGGTGTTCGGCTTCAAGAAACCACACGAGAGTCAAGATGCTGTAGCATTCCTTAATGTTGTGTTTGACAGGGCTAAGACGAGCCTGGAGTGCAGTGAGTTTATATTATGATTATATTTTTATTAGTATTTAATAATAAACATGATATTATGAGATGGGAATGTCATGTTTAAATAATGAATATTTTACAGAAACAAATGATTTTTGGATCATATAAAATATTTTTTTTTTTGCATATATGTACTTTGTAAACTTTATATATAGTAGAGGATCCCGATAAACGGCGACCTTCACCGAGATGCTTATTTGATGAAAAATATTTTATATTCAATTTAATATGTCTATAACTATACTACATATGGGTTGCCTCATAAATTTTAGTCCAGGATATGATTAATTAACAATTAAAAATAGTTTTTTTTTCAAATATTTAACCGGTTTGATTATTAGATAAATTCTACACCAATCGAAAGTACGGAGCCCATAGAATATGAAAACGTTAGGTTGCCTATTCTTTTCCAGTCACAACTCTCGGGTTGCCAGGGATAAACAGGAACATCGATACTAGCATTTTGCACCGGTCTGATAATTAAATCAAATTTAAATGAAAACAAAGAATATTCAATTACGAACAAGGTAGTATAGGGTTGCCTCCGAAAAATCAGTCCTAAATTAGGGTTGTCATTATATACAGGGTGACTGATGAATTACTATCGATATTTGAGGACGTGATATTTGACGATCATATATGACAAAATAAAAATTAATATAACATAAATATTAATAAACTTCTAAGTAAAGTTAACCAAAAGTTATGTAATTAATTACGCATCGTATGAACACCCTACAGATTAGGTATACACACACACACACACACTCGCGCGCGGCGGCGTGTTGTTGTATCAGCACGCCGCCGCACGCGTCCACACTTGGAACACTTGGAACGTGTCCGCACTTTATTTATTTATACGGAAATTTGGTCAAAAATTAAGTACCTATTTTTTTTACATAATTCGAATGAGAATCATGTACCGAGTATGCTCCTTAAATATTGATAGTAATTCACCAGTCACCCTGTATATGTAATATATGTAGTTATTGACATATTAAATTTAATATAAAATATGTTTCATCAAATAAGCATCTCAGTTAAGGTCGCCTTATATCGGGATCTTAGACTAATAGGAAAATAGATGGAGCACCTGGTATTTTTTTATTTAATGAGTTTTCGTTATATGGAGAGTAACTTAATAATTATTATTATCATTATTAAATTGAATATATAACCATATTATACAATAACTATGTTGTTGGTGACCTGGGCTTAAATAAAAAGTTAGCTGTATGCAGCATAATAGACGTTATATTCATAATGTGTTTCGATATCAGGACAACAATATGAACCGAACAAATCCAAATAATAGCAAATCCTGTTTTAAACTTTTCATTTAATAGAAGTTCGCTATATGGAGTTTACACTATATTTTTCCATAGTTGTTTTTTTGTCATAAAATACTATATCAAGACCAACTGACAGATATTAACATCTCGTCTGCACTTGATCACGGTTGCTGCTAAGTAACCGAAACATCTGCAGTATGTCGTTTAAAAATAATAAAATAACGAATTGTAATCCGAGAATATTAATAGTTCTATTTAAATGAAGACTTGTGAAAGTCTTAGATCTAAAATTCTATAACGTTATTAAATCTGTTTGATTTCAGGAAAGCTATTGAAAGGTAGGGGCATATATCCATTGGAGTTATGTGAGAAATTCATCATTCACCTCACAAAAGTAGCGTTGGGAGTGCTATCCTGTCATCCCTTTTCATACGTGCCTTTAATAAGACCGTCGCTGGAATTCACTCTGTACTATTGTTTCACTGAAGTTGGAATGTCTTTGACATACGAAAGATTCACTATACAGTGTTTGAATATATTGAAAGGCATCCTACAGTGTGTGGAATATAAGCTTCCTAAAGGGAATGAACCTGTTAAAGAGCCAAGTGAGTATTTAATGTTCTAATATTATCTAAACGATAAATCTTGTATTGTTTATTTATGTGCCCTTATTGTGTATATAACGTCGGGGATAGTGCTAATCCGCGTAATTACTATTGGTTATCCCGCATATCTACATTGAAAGCAGATTATCAGAAGAAAGTTTAAGCTGAAATATTTTCTATATTAACTACTCATAAGGTATTTTTTTCACAATTAGTAATTATTTAGTGTTTATTTTTTATTTATTGTGAAAAAATTACCTTAAAAGTCGTTAATTTAGAAAATATCTCAGCTTAAACTTTCTTCTGATAATATGTTTCCGTTGCAGATACGCGGAATTATCCAATGCTAGTTACTCGGATTTGCACTATAAACGATGATATATTATGTGCATAGCCCATAAAATTGCTATTTTAAAGTAACATTTATAATTCCAGTTCGAGCCCAAGCCCATCAACTCAAGTGGGAGGTTTTAGATCAGCGTACAGTGTGCCACATGTGTCGACACCTCGTCACACACTACTTCTTACTCACGGCTGATGACCTTGCGTTGTGGGACGCGGAACCTGAGAGCTTCGCTACTGACGAGGCTGGAGAGTCGTGGAAGTATAGCCTTAAGGTGGGATTGAATTTGTATTTACAAGTTAATGTACATATTGTAAGGCAGACCCTGGCTAAAGCTGGAAAATTGCCAGGTAGAAGAAAAAGAAGAAGAACTTAATGTACATATGTACTGGACCTATGTAGTTGGACCTTCGGCTTTCAACAAGGTTTAACTTGAAAAAAGTATTTATATCGGAGCATATTAGTTTATTAACTTAATAAATCATCCTTCCTCGTTCGTCATTCAAAGGATGAAACAATTTGGTTTTTTTTTCAAATACATTTTACAAAGACTCATAAGTACAGTGAATAATATCTTAGCTTATCTTCTTTTAGATCAATTCTGTGTATGTACTATGTAGAAAATAGTCATAAAACAATAAAAAAAAGTCTAATGTTAGTGAAATCTGTATGTATCTGTTACCGTCAAATATTGTCCATCATAATAAGTGAAGATAAAAGATTAATTAGCCGTAATAAAACAATAAGTAATATATAAAGAAAAGAAATGAAATTCAAATTGAAATATACAATGTAGAATGGAAAATTCATCAACACGAGCAGGATTTGAATCTGTAACATCCGAAAGATCTCAATTCTCTCTGGTTTATGATTTTTCATGCAAAGTAACCGGAACTTCGAGAGTATTTAGTTTAAAAGTATAAAATACCGCGTAGTTATCCTGGTTATTTATATTATTCACTCGCGAGTCTAGGATCTCGAATAAAGATTTTCTTATTTTTTTCGTCATCAAATTTATAATTTTGAAGTAATGAATCCATATCACAAGTCCTTATATAGTATGATATGATTCATACATTTTTTGACATTTGGAATTATAACTATATATATCGTTTAATTTCCAGCCGTGTACGGAGGCAGTATTCCTGGAACTATTCCACGAGTACCGGTCTGTGTTGGCTCCAGAGCTAGTCAGTATGTTAGCGTCGCTACAAGAAACACAAGTCTCTCCGGACGACCTGCCCGCCATACTGAACAAGGACGCCATCTATAACGCTGTGGGACTAGCGGCCTTCGACTTATATGATGATGTTAGAATATATTCATTATAGTCTAGATTTAAGGCAGATTTATCTAAACTGGTTTTACATGAGGACATTAATCTAGTATGTCTCTTAATCGTTATAAGAAAATAATTTTATTATTCAAGCCACGTAATGTATATGTCATATGATTTTTTTTTCAAATTTACACTGGGTGAAATGTACAGTTTTATTTGGTTGGCACACAATGTATATGGTATATGCAAATTTTCTTGTAACAATCGCTAAGCTTCTTAGAATATGTTTTCCCTTTTTTGGCCCATGAATTCGGACCTTTTTTCAAGTTAATCAATATTAAATCACAATCATTTTCGTGGACCTAACTTATATATAATAACCATTTTTTTTGTTAAGCCCACTTACACTTATAATCTGTGATGCAAATTTCAGATTATAAGTGAAAATTTGTAAACAATATGGGTTCTAGAGATTTTCTATCCACGTGTGTGCACTTATTTATACTTAAGGTTATATATTGCCTTCTCTCATGATATGCCACTTATGGTTACAGCATGATTACGTACTTATACGGTTAATTTCGCGATCTTGCTAAAAATTTTATTAGTTTGGGTATGGTAATTTTTTTTACCTAACATAAAATAAAGAGGTATTCATCATTTACATTACTGTTTATGTTAGAATCGAACCTGAAATGATCGTAAACCAGTAATGTAATCGTTGAAATGATCTTTGGCCCATTATACGTTTTTGTTGTAATGTATTCGTTTGTAATTTCAGGTTGATTTTGACGAATGGTTCACGAACGTGCTGAGCAAGGAATTAAAAATAGAAGACAACAATTACAGAATAATTAGGAGGAGAGTTTGTCAGTTAATAAGTGAGTATTATCAAGTTAAAAGATTCTCTCCCGGTTTAGTAGCAAGGCAATAAATACAATGGCAATAATAAATAAATAATAGGATAAGAACAAAATGCTTAATTGTTATATTTGCTGAAATACTGTTACTTCATAATTTTTAGTCGGATATGAAAAGTTTTTCCACTACTGATTAAAATTAACGATGAAGGCTATATGCTGTATACTATCAAGATGTGACCTAGGCGCTTAGTTTTTACGAAAACTGTAACAAACACTGATGATCGTAAAAATAAAATTACATGCAAACACTTGAAGATGATAGTTTTGAACAGTTTCGTTATCATGTGGCTAGAACAGCTTTTATTCGATTGTAGATATTAAATGAAAATAAAAAAAAAACATAAGTTAAAGTTATAAAATGGAGGTTTATAAATGAAACTAATATTTTTCGGATTTTACTTCGCGTTTTATTTTAGAAAACTACATACTCCCGACGTTTCGGCTACTTTTCAGCAACCGTGATCACGGGCAGACGAGATGTCTGGTCTCGTCAGACATCTCTAAAGTTTTCTAAAATAAAACGCGAAGTAAAATCCGAAAAATATTAGTTTCATTTAAATGAGTACTCGCGAAAATCTTAGATCTCATTATGGAGGTTTATAATTTTAAATTTTTTTAAGTAAGGATGGAAAAATTAGTAGGCTAGCTATAAATGATATCTTAAATTTGAATATGCATCATTGAGTACGGAGTATATAGTAAAATAAATAATATTCCGTCAGTTAAAGCAAAACCTTAGTGACATATTTAAGTCCTTTGCCTGGTTTGTGGAGTGCTTTTCACTTTATTTCCATTCTCTGGTTTGTTGTAATGCGACAAGCGATAGATGGTCGAAAATTTTTAAGATAATGTGATCTAAAAGCTAATTATATTTTGAAGGTCATTGGTGTGGAGTGCGCGCGTCTCAGTCACTCCGACCAGCGATGTACACCGCTTTACTGGAACCGCTCACTCGTAAGGGAGAAGATCCGGCCGTGAAGCTTGCAGCCGCTGAAGCGCTGCGCAGCACTATAGACGACTTCAACTTTGACGTTGAACAGTTTGCGCCGTTTGCACCGCACGCGCTGTCTGCGCTTTATGATCTATTGGTAAATATTTTTTGTACTTATATGCATACGAACCTTAAGGATATCCTTAGGGCGAAAGTTAATAAGTCATTACTGGCATAGTGCGCTCGCTATTTACCATCTAATTATATAGGGTGGCAACCGGAGTTTCATGGAAAACTAGGAAACTTACTTACACGTATATTATAATAAGAATTATATTAAAACTAACATAACCTATACCTAATACTACATGATTGCCCCGATGTTAGGACAGCAATAACATTCCAGAGCTTGTGTGGTATCAGGAATCTTCTGGTTCACACGGCATGGTGTTCGTTCCGCGGAGTCAGCAGCGACACTCGTCTTATGATATTTTATTCATACAACGACGTCGCCCCGGCGACGTTCAATTAATTTTTAATATATAGCGCATATGTAACAATCTACTTTTCAAATACTAATAGGAGATAGCTAAATGACGGTGAAGGAAAACATCGTTAGAAAACCTGGACTTATAATTTTACAATTATAATTTTGAAATCATCAACCCGTTTTGAGCGAGCGTAGTGATTAATGCTCAAACCTTCTCCATATGAGAAGACGCCTTTCAGCAGTGGGCTCTGATAGGCTGATGACGACGATAGCTAAATACTATCGCCAATTGTACATTATGATCAAGTTTCGCAAATACTGTATAATTTATTTATTCTTTGGTGTACAATAAAGAATACATAGTTAAGGGGTCCCTTAAACCTACACCTACACAAGTCCCAGGCACTGTTGAAACTCCTCTCCCTGCAACGATGGATTCGCCAACCGCACAGTGAATCCATTGAATGCTGAGAAGTTTCGTCTCTTTACTTACTTACTATTTAGTCGATATAAAAAATATTATACTAAAACTACATATTACTTTGACTATATTTTTCCAGGTGGAGTGTACAGAATGCGAGACTAAGATGCACGTATTGCACGTAGTTTCGTACGTGACGGAGCGCTGCGGGTGGGTGGTCGCGCGCGGAGGGGGCGGAGGTGCCGGGGCCTTATTTGCTGTCCTCCCCGCGCTGTGTTTACACGCGGCTCACCATCACATGCTGAGAGCAGCCGCCCTCGCTGCATTAGTACATCTAGTTAAGGTCGGTAGAACTTACGTACATTTAAATAGTACTTTTTCTACCTGGCAATTCCTAGCTTCAGCCAGGATCTGTCTTACATGTTGAATAGTTTTTGCTAATTGTTTTCTGACACACGGTGAAGGAAAACATCGCGAGGAAACCTGGACTTAAAGTTTCACAATTATAAGTTTGAAATCACCAACCAGTCTTGAGCAAGCGTGGTGATTAATGCTCAAACCTTCTCCATGTGAGAAAGAGGCCTTTGCTCAGCAGTAGGCTCTGATAGGCTGATGACGAATTGTTTTCACGACCGGCTGCCTGTCTGACATCAACCCTCTTTGGGAATGCATTAATCAGTGATGTCTAAATACTCTTAGAATGTACATATGACTCGGTAAATCACATTGGTACCTGCCAGGATCGAACCCACGCCCTCGTGCGTGAGAGGCGGCCCTTTTAACCACTGCGCCACCGCGGACTAGTGCTTGTATGTTTTTTTAATGATAATGTGAGCAAACGAGCTAATGGCCTAACTGATAGAGATAGTATCGTCGCCTATGGACATCCCCTATATAATTTTGAGGATTTTTTGCTATCCTTGATGGGTTTTAAGTTGTACATAATCGAGAGCTGCTTTAGCCCTCATTATTAACTATGCTTATGCAGTAATTAATGTATAAGAAATTAAATTTTTGGACTCGGTTTTATGGTCACCAATTGACACAAGTTGCTCTCAGAAGTTAGCCAAGTCCAAATAATAGTCAAACCAGTACTAGCAGATTGATCAAAAATTTTATATATTACATACTTTGACTACAAAGTCAATAATAGAATTTTTTAAGTAACACACAAATTCTATTTAAATTCTATTTCAATACAAAATTTACATAACTTTAGGAGGTTAAATAAAAATCTTTGAATATAGTGTCACACAAATTCACATTGTGGCTGAAACAGTTTTTCAATTAAAATTATTATTTATTACCTATAACTTTTTAGGTAATAAATAATAATTTTATAATCTTTAAATCATAAATAAACTAAAGAATTAGAAAGAAATTTGAGAATTGTCATTAAATCAAATTGTAAAGCTTGCAATTATCACAAAATAAGTTTCTTAAAATTTTGTAAATTAGATTGCCTCACTCCAACAAAACTGTATTACAATAAATATTTTTGTACATAATTAAGTACAAAACTGAATTTTATATAAAGGTATCACAAGAATGTATTCATAAAAACATAATTATAGATCCTTATTCTGTTCCTGAAATTATATTAAGTGTTTTTATTACCAATTTTTTCTGCAAGTCCTAATTTATATAGTTTTATTTGTAATCTAAATATTTACATCTTGTTTCCAAGAGCAAAAACTAAATAAAATTTCTCTATAAATGTTCACTATGGACAAAATTATCTCACTTAATAATTATATACATTTATATTTCCAGGCGTTGGGCGAGTGTGATCCAAGCGTGCGTCCGTGGGTGTTGAACGTCATCAATGAATCAACCAAGTTGTCTGAGCCGGCTCACGTGTACCTGCTTGAAGACGCGTTGGAGTTGTGGCTCGCTGTGTTGGAAACCTCACCAGCTGCTGACCAACCGCTGCTGCAACTGGCTCACAACTTATACCCCATACTTGGTTAATATACAATGTTTAATATAATACATACTTCTTCTACTCGGCAATTTCCCAGGTTTCAGCCAGGGTCTGCCTTACATACAGATAGTTTATGCTAATTGTTTTTACGACCGGCCGCCTGCCTGACATCAACCCTCTTTGGGAATGCATTAATCAGTGATGTCTAAATACTCTTAGAAAGTACATATGACTCGAAAAAATGACGTTGGTACTTGTCAGGGCCAGGATCGAAGCCGCGCCCTCATGCATGAGAAGGGGGCCTTTTAACCACTAGGCTATCACTGTCTTCAATACATACTATTTGTTTCAAAGAATTTTCTGTACGTTTTTTTTCATTTTGTTATGTATTAATCATACTTGCTCATACATTAAGTTTGCTACTTAACACAATACATATACATGTTCGAGTATAGTGCAAAACCGCATAACTAGAATTGGATAATTACGCGTGTCTACATTGGAGGCAGATTATCAGAAGAAAGTTTAAGCTGAAATATTTTCTAAAAAACAAATTATTAAAATAAAAAATAATTATTCAGTGCTTAATTTATTACTGATTGCGAAAAAAATTCCTTAAAAATCTTTAATTTAGAAAATATGTTTTGCTTAAACTTTCTTTTAATAATCTACTTCCATGCAGGTACGTGGAATCATCCAATGCTATTTTCCCGGTTTTTTCACTATCCCCCACGATGTGATGAATTTAATAAAGGTTTATTGAATACTACAGATTTATATTAATAGAAGAAAATAAACTAACTTTAAGTTACTCTTTATAATATTGTTATGTGCCAGTGAAAAGTACATCATAGTCACTCCAACTATTTAGGAGTTTAGCTGGAACACACATACAAACCAAAAATTGTTAATTTATCATCAACACATACATTTAGTAAAAAACGTTTATTGATATATGAAATACGTATTAAAACGTAAGCCATATTTCCTTATGACCGCGTTGTTTTATGTTTTTGGATATACAGGGTGACTGGTGAATTACTATCGATATTTGAGGACGTGATTTGTGATGATCATATATGACAAAATAAAAATTAATATAACATAAATATTAATAAACTTCTAAGTAAAGTTAACCAAAAGTTATGTAATTAATTACGCATCGTATGAACACCCTACAGATTAGGTATACACATACACTCACACAGACGCGGCGGCGGCGTAGTGTTGTATCAGCACGCCGCCGCACACGTCCACGCTTGGAACACTTGGAACGTGTCAACACTTTATTTATTTATACGGAAATTTTGTCAAAAATTAAGTACCTATTTTTTTTACATAATTCGAATGAGAATCATGTACCGAGTATCCTCCTTAAATATCGATAGTAATTCACCAGTCACCCTGTATATCGTACAGTTTTTGTTATGTTTGTTATTTTAAAAAGAGTAAATCAATTTGATTATATTAAGTTTTAAAATTGTTGTGAATAATTTTTGTAATCTTTGATGTAGGTATGTGGTAATTGTATTTTCTAAAATAATATAGATGATATTTTTGTAAACTATAAGAATTAAAATTATTCTCTAAACAAACTTTATACTACTGTTCTTAAATATTTTAGAGAATTATTAACTTATTGTATATTTAAATGAAACTAATATTTTTCGGATGGACTACAATTTTATTTTTGATAATAAACTACATACTCCTGACTTTTCGGCTACTTTACAGTAACCGTAATCATGTAAGTGATGTGAGTGAGATGTGAGTGTCACTCATCCGAAAAATATTAGTTTCATTTAAATGAATACTGAAAATCTTAGATCTCATAATTATTTTATATTGTAGATAAGGTAATTTATATAAATAATTTAAAACTTCCAGAACAATCTACGGAACATTTGAGAATAGTTGTCTACATAATGCAGGCATATGCTCTCCTATGTCCCGAAGAATTCTTCACCGGGGCCGGAGCTAAATGTATGTCACTGTTGGACGATATGTTGAGTGATATGAGAACAGAGGGTGTTATCACTGTATTGAAGATGGCTGAGATATGCATCAGTGTGACCTTCCCTGAAAGAAACGCCTTCTTAGGGGTCAAAGTTATCTGGCCGACGCTAATACGGGTCATACAGTACGTATATTATATTGGTATTTGAATTAATAATTGTATATATGTATTGTGATTATAATTATCTATCATTATAAGATTAGTAAAGATTTTACTGAAATTTGTCTGCTTGAAATTAATCGATGTCCACGATACAGGCCTAGCCTAGTGTGTGTCAACGTTCACTATAAATTGAATTGTTAAGTGATTTTTTAAGTGATTTAACTTAAGTTAAATTCAATATCGTCATTTCAATCATATACGATATTGTCTATAGAATTGATTTGAATCCAATTGTGACATTATTTTGTAAAAAAATTGAAATTATTCTTATTGTTTATGGTCTGCCAAAGAAAACTAACAAGCTAAGCTTAAAAAAAGTAATCTTTATTTATGCTTTGTAACATTATCTTATTCAGTCAAAAGTGAATACTTTTTGTGTTAACTATCTACTTCTACGGCTACATTCTATCTATCATAAGTTTGGGTTGATATGCAAGCTTTATCCGATATATAATAAATAACAAAAAACATGTAAATGTAAATACAAACATATATATAAAGTTTTTCCTATCATACAAATATCTTTTCCACAGCTGTCTTCTCGAAGGCGACGACCTCCCAATGGTGTTATCAGTGCAGCTGTGTCTGTTGTCGCGAGTGATCCTCATCTCGTCGGATCTGTTCTACAAGGTGGTGCAGGAGGCGGCCGTCGGACTCGTCGAATACTCGTCGGACCCGGTCAAGGTGTTGACTAGACTGTTACATGTCTGGACGGAGAAGATGAATCTAGTTACACAGGTGGAAAGGTGGAAGGTTGTTGGTGAGATTTTGTTTATGTTATTTACTATAAATTTTTGAGACATTTTTTGTTATTAAACAACATTATTTGGGATCTTCCAGTTTAAAGACATTTATTTCTTATAAAGAACACCAAACTTCACTTATAATAAGAAATTACAATAATATCTATATTTAATATATCTATTATTTAATATAGTTTAAATTGTTGAAAATATTTAAAATAGCCTAGTTAAGAATATATTTATTATACTAATAGCTCAGTCAAAGTTATTTAGGTCATAAATCTTACAGCTTGCACTTTGTTTGTATGAACAAATATTGATTTTCTGAATTGCTATTTCAGTATAAGTTCTAAAAAACTTCTGTAAACTTCCAGGTCTTGGTCTAGTCGCTTTACTGACGACTCACAATGCAGCGGTTCTGGAGCGTTTCCCAGCTATATTGTTGAATCTCACGGAGGTTCTCAATGACGTTATGAAAATGGAAGAATCCGGGAATTATGTTGAGTGAGTGTATAGATATAAACTACATGTGATAAGACTCACGTAACGAAGAATAAGGCTATGTACTAAATCTACTGTATCTAAAATGATTTTAAAACAACGTAGCTAGCAGTTTTGACGTATATTTTTTAATTAAGAACGAATTTTGACCTTTGTTCAAAACTATTTTCCTAGAATTTACAAGTCATTATCTATGTTCTTGTATGGTAAGAAGTTAGATAATCTCTATGATGTGTACAGACAGTGGGCTTCATAATTTAGTCTGTGTTACCTTATAACAATAAAAAAAGCAAAAAAATTAGTTCACTATTAAATCTAATATATCCTACTAATATTATAATTGCGAAAGTTTGTGAGTGTGTGTGTATTTTTGTTACTTCTTCACGCTCAAACGGCTGAACCGATTTTGATAAAATTTTGTATCGCGAAAATCCCGGAAATCCGCGGGTAACACCGCGGGGCGCAGCTAGTAAATGTATATAATGATGTATATATCTTCTTCCAGCGCTTTACTTTCTCCTCCCGGATCTCGACCCGCGTCTCCTTTAGAAGGTCGTGGTGGTGCCGCTCGCTGGGAGGCGGCAGAGGACTGCGCCGCGCCAAACGAACAACAACTGACGGCGCACGAAATACGGAGGAGGAGGTTTGCAGCCGCACATCCCGCACGAGCACTCGACCTGCGAGCTGTTACACACCACCAGGTATGAGCGAGATAGATGATTAGATGGAACGAGAGTTAGAGTGAGATGGAAGATTGTATGAGGTACAAGGGAGAGTGAGATTTATGATTGTGTGGGGTACAAGTGGGAGTGAGATGTATGATTGGATGGAACGCGAGTTAGAGTGAGATAGAGACGAAATCTCTTATCATTCAATGGATTCAGCGTTCGGGTGACGGATCCATCGTTGTAGTGAGAGGAGCTTCAACTCTAACGCGCGTTAAACGCTCACCTCCACTGTCCAAACTCCTCTCTCTACCTAACCAAATTTGAAAAGAACCTACTCTGGCTGCCTTCGATGTACGTTCCAAGAATGAATTAATGTGAGTTCTGGACAACTTCGTCTTTTAGTAGGTTGAAGATTGTATTGACAAGTGAGAGTGAGATGAAAGATTGCATGGGGTATAAGTTAAAGTGAGATGGAAGATTGTATGGACCACTAATTAGAGTGAGATGGTTGATTAGGAGTGCATAAAAATGATGACGCTTATATACAATTTTAGGAATTTGTGTATAATATATAATGTGATCGTCGATATGATATTATAATAAATAAAAACAAAGTTAGTGTGAAAAGAGTATTTGGATACCATCAAATTAAGTCTGCCGATGGAATAAAAATCATTTCGAAGATATATATGAGTTTGAAAAATAAACCAAAATAGTCAGTCTGTTAGGACATAAGGGAATTGAACGTGTAATAGTTAAAAAAACGTTTTACTAATATAAAATTATATATATTTTTTAAAAATGTTTGTCGTTTTTTAACTAATTAACAAGTTTAAAATATAAAAAGTAACATTATATCGAATATAGACTTCGCTACAAAGGAATGATAACTAAAATACGTCTAAAGCTATTAAATAATTTGTTATTCTATAAGGTATACTTAATTAAATATCAATCATCCCTACTAATATTATAAATGCGAAAGTAACTCTGTCTGTTACGCTTTCACGCCTAAACAACTGAACTGATTTTAATGAAATTTGGTACAAAGATAGAGTTGACCTTGAGAAAGAACATAGGATAGTTTTTATCCCAGACTTTTGAAAGGATCTCTTGGAAACGCAATATAATCGAACTCCACGCGGGGGAAGCTGCGGGTGGAAAGATAGTGTAATTTATATGCATATTTGTTTAGTAAATCACTAATCATTCATATATATTTCAGTTGGAGACACTCAAGACTCAAGTCGGTCCGGAGACGTTCGACCGACTGTTACAATCAACGGACAAGGACACGATAAAACAACTAAGAGAATACATACCGCTGTAGATAAAATGCATTTCTTACTAACGAGACTTATTTCAAAAGCTTACAGCGACAGCTTCACTAGCTAAGCCTTGATATAAAATGTAAATTCTAGTTATTACTAGTGTATTTTTTTGTTGTGAATTTCTGTGTTTTTGTATATTTCTACATTCATTGCGATTTTTTGATTCGAAGTTTTTGTTTAAATCAAACGCACGTTTGTCATCGATGGAAGTATTTTCTTAATGTCATGGGACATTTGCATATATATTTAAACAATCATAATTTACTAATATTTGTGTATTAAATTTTCTTGTGTTCTTAATAATATCGCATTTGGATACTTAATTTCTATTTGTATTGAAAGTAAAATGTTTTTGATATGTAACAGAGTTATGAATATAACTATCGCTGTATCTAAGCCTTTATAAACAAAGATCACTTAGTCCTAGTTCCCAGCCACAAGCTACTCGAAAGTTGAATGTGATAAAATTAAATTTCCTATATAATAGCTTTAAATTTAAATACGACTAATTCTGTATATGGCATTAAATGGTTATCTGAAACTATACTATGTTTTATTCATCTGATGAAATGTCCTTTAGGTTCTATTTTTCAAAAATTTCCGATACTACTTCAAGAAATAATGTATTTTTAAGTCATAGAAAAAGATGTTTTCAATTCGACTTTTTTTGTATATTATGTGATAGTTTTTATACATTTAAATGACCTATTCATATTTTATATATGTTTTCATTAAAATTAAATATTATTTATTTAAAAAAATCAACTTGTATGTAATGCCCATGAAGCGAACTCTGATTTTATTCGTTACGTAGCTAAGCCTAAATTACTTGATTTGCTATAAGCATTGTTAAACAGACAATACATTGGATTAACATACAAATGTACAAACGCCGACGATAGAGATAACATAGCACGGATTTCATCTTAATTAGTCAATTTGTCCATGGATCGGGTTTGTTTGTAAATAAATAAGCAAATAGTCAATATTACTTTATTTAGAGGTAACACTACCCTTATATAAAACTTTATTTAGCTTTGGACTTCCTATATGTGGATTAATGAAACGAAAGTGTATTGGCAGCGCCATCTATACTGTCACGTGACTGCATGTAACGTATACAAGCATTATTGTGTACCTGCCAAAGATGTAGAGAATTTCGTAATAAATTATAGACTCTCATAATTCTGATGAATGAGCTGTTTTGTTCAAAAAAATCATCAAAATCCTTCAAGTAGTTTGTCCGTAAAAGAAGAACAAATATACTAATAATATGATTATTAAGTAGTGTAAGACTAAGATAATGTCAGTCGTCATATAAATGAAAGTGAAATCAGTTATTATTATAATTTCAACGCCTCGGTATGTTTTAATAGGTATAGGTATAATTTTTGCACCTAAAGTTACTAAATAAATTAAATTATAGTCTTGCGTGAGAGAATATTTTATTCGGAATTCTAATTACAAATTAGGAAATATAGAACAAAAAATTTGTTGATAAAACCAGAATTCGAACATTATTTCCGAAAAATCCTATTGCAGAAGCCGTAATTTCAGATCGCTAGTAAAATGACTGCATTGTTGTAACGAAAATGGAAGGTGAGTGATGGGTGGTAATAGATATTTGGCTGTTAGAAAAGTAGAAAACAAAGGTCAGTTCCGAAAGTTCCTCAAAAGCAAGCCCTTATCATACAAAACATTTGCATAAATTGCAACCGAAATCTTCTTAATAATCTTACCGATGGCAAAGCAAACTGGTCGTAGTGCTCTTAAAAATAGGTTTAGTCTCTGCGATATTATTTAAGTACAACATCGTTAGAACCATTTCCCACAGAAGTTTTGCGTAATATGGTCAAACAAAGTTTTTTTTATATATATCTCATGGTTTTAAAAGCGGGCCAGGGTGAGCTGAACTACGGCTTATGTCCTTGTTAAAAGGAAGGTTGGAATCGTCTTCAGACGAATAATGCTGCGAGAAACGTAGAATGCTGCGACTTGACAAGATTTGACTGTTTTTATTATGTAGTTAAGGTTTAAGAATTAAAAGTACCTCTATCGAACGTCTCTTGGCTATCGGGAAGTTTTATGATTTCAAGGAATTTTGGTTAGCTTACTTGGGTTACGGTATATTGACTGACTATTTCTAGGCTTGATAGTGACTTCATGATCAACTCAGTGTAAAAAACTTATATTTAGCTAAGTTTCTTTAATTAAAAATATAATAACTTTCAAATACTAAGGAAATTTTCGACTAATATAAGATTTTTTTTTCCTAGCTGTAATCCTCTCTAATCAATTTATTATTTGTAGATATATTTTGAATTTTAATTCAAGTACTTAGCTCAGGTCAAAAACACACAATTGTAGGAAGATTTTACAAATATTTTACTGACAGTACCTAGTATGATCACCATCATATTATATCTCAGTGACAATGAAAAGAGCATTTCAAACAATTTACCGTGTCTATAAGAAATCGTGACAGATCATTTAATTTAACTATGGAACCTTAACTTGTAAGGTGAAATTAAGTCTAGGATTTTTTTATTTGAAACTGATATTTTAGCCAAATTCTTTTAGAGGTATTACTTGTACCTACACATAAATTATTCGCTGTGACAGACGACATCTTCAAGTGCATTTTGGTTTGGTTAAATACATTTTGGCTTTGGAGTAGGTACCTCGAGGGGCTGAAAGCCTAATGAGACTGCTTTTTAAAATCTGTATTCCAACAATCTTGGCCAAAATCCAAGATAGCAGGTCTATCTCTGCGACATGAAACACGGCAGGAGTGTGTTAGTTTTATAAAAAAAAACTTAAAAATGTAATAATTATCGTAAGTATTAATCTTTAAAGTCACATAAATATTATTCTACTTTTATTTATATAAAGTACTTTATAAAACCAGATATTAATGGCTGTAAATTTACTTAGCGTACGTAAAATATATTTTCAATCTTAAATTAAAGCATGATATATGTAAGGTTTTATGTAGACGATAGTTGAAGCTCCTATTTTATATAATCTTCATAATATTTCTTGCTGGTACTTCAGCTATCTGACCACAAAATTCCACTTTAAATAATATCAACATATTTATCATGGGCTTGCATTAATCAAGAAATGATATTTATTTCAAGCGTTCGTTAAGATGGCTAATTGCGTGTCTTCGTTCTAGCTTCCGACCATAAATTATCTAGGACAGCATGTGATAAGCTTCAAGCGATTTAAATATTATATGTATAAAATATCTATTTTATATTTATTATACAAATAATTGTGAAGGTTTTCTGATCTCTTTATTTCCGTCTCATATATCGGTATATACATGTATTGTGTTAGTTTTTTGTCACAAACGCTACCGCTTATGAATTGTACCGTTGTAAAGTTCTCGGGTTGCGACGCCATTAGTTTTGTTTCATGTAGCTAACTCCGGATAACTGGGTGTTTCAAGAATTAGTTAATGAACTGAAGGATCCGCTGCATCTACGTGCTTTGAAAATTTATTTTAATCATACCCAATTAAATTCATCTCATTTGTTTACCGCCAGTGAGGCATGATCGATGTTATTTAAATAAGATTTATTATTATTATTGAAAAGCCTTTTTTTGGAGTTTTGCCTGTTGTTCCTGTTCATGTGAAGTTTAGAAGTTACTCATGAAAATAGAATCATTAAAATTCCTTCATATTAAAAAGTTATGGCATTGGCAGGTAAATAATCTTTACAGGCAAAGTCAAATATGACATGAAGTGACAAAGATTGTTCAATTAAGCTAAAGAAATAAGTATTTGTATGTACCTGTTATTTAATTAAAACCTATCCCTTCCTGATTGTTTAAGTTTTCAAGAATAAACAATAATTAGAAAACATGTTACTGTTGGTAAGAATTGCAATTGATTTATTACTTGACGAATAAAAACGAATAAAGGGTCATATATGTCAAATTAACAATTAATGAATTTAAATAGCTAAAGCGGCGACCCCGCTAATTATCTAGTAGGCAAACCCTCAAGATACTTTGATTCAACGCCAACTCTGAATGCCAATCTAGTTAGAAAACATAAATAATGGCTTCGGTTGCCTTAAAGTTAAATAAGATTAAATCAAAGTAAACGTTTTCGTGAGTTGCTCGTGGCTTTCAAATGTTACTTATACATAAACTGCATAATTGTTTTATTAAATTTTAATTATGTAGAAATAACTAAGAAATTAAACATTAGTAGGTAGGAAACCACTTTCCTCGTAACTTAATAAATATGTAAAAAAATATATGGTCTTGTACAGTAATTTATGTAAACAGAAATATGATGATGATTAAGGCTAATAGAAAATTAAGCAACTTTGTTAAGTTTTAATAAGATCTAAGACTTTCGCTAAAATTCATTTAAATGAAACCAATATTGTTCTGATTATTATGAGTATTTTATTATTTTAAAAAACTACATTAAGTTGGCCTAACTAAATTTAAGAAGTAATATTTACTACTACTAAAAGAAAACAACGCGCCCCTTAATTCGCCATCGTCTTCTAGAGCAGACGGTCACTGATCAGATAGTAAACCCGTTCCTCCGAAAAACATGCACATGTGGCTCTCATAAAAGGTCAAGGATTTTAAAAACCTCAAGGCAATCTATCAAAAGCTTCAAGAAATTAAAACAGCGTGTAGTTGAGGAAGTACTTAAATGATTTACCGGTTTTATACACAGATTGCCAATATGATACGTCATTCACATTTTGTTGGTGCATTCAGTACTGTAAAGAGTAATAGAACGACAAAACGACGAATAGTTGTACTTTTACTCATAAGATCTCAATCGGTCATGGTATCATGGAGAAACGGTATTAGTGGTCGTTCATACCCCCATAGTCTTAGAATATAAGGTACATAGATACTATTATAAGGAAAAATAAAGATATTATTCAGTTTCGTATTCTTCTTATTATCGTTTCATTACCATAAATTCATAATATTAATTCAATCTAATTACTGCCCATAA